AAGGCAATATTTTGAGTAGTGTGTTTTTAAAATCCTTACCTTTTGCACGCAAACGTTTTTCCTGAAATTGGTTGTCCATGTGTTTTTATTATGACTGAATCATGAAAGAGCTTGGTTTCCAGTTTCTGTGTGTAGCACTTTTGTCTTTGTGGTGCTTTTTATTTTAGGCCTTTTATGCAGAATTAGGTAAAGTCTGACAAGTCTTCAATGCCATAGATGCATTGGTTGTGTTTAGACACCTTCTGCACCAGCAGTTCCATCTTTTGGGCATTGAAATTGATTTTTCTCATCTTAGCATTTGAAGATGGAGAGTGCCCTTGCCCATCGCCTGAGAGTGTACAGTGGCTCGAAAAGCAGAGGATGTGGAGTCAGCAGATTTTCAGGCACCAGAAATGGCAGCATCAGGAGCATCAGCACGAGTAGACTGTGTTGAGGTAGTTCTCCCAAACTATATTATGAAACCAAACAATTCTGGTATACAAAGGCTGATGGAGGCTGCCTCTTAGTCCAGAATGTTTAATCCCATGTTGGCTGGTTTTCCCATATGCTTAACCCAAGTAATGTTGTGTACAGCCCTGCATTTTGCACAGCAGCATTTCTGATAGCCACACAGCGAAGGCAACAGTGTGCCTTGTGAATTGTCTGCTCTTAACTTCTCTTTGTGTTAATAACGAGACCATATAAAAGTAACAAAGAACGCTGCCACAACTGACTGAGAGTTTCTGGAGGTATTTAATCTTCAGAGACTTAATTGCTTTAGGCATCATCCCATGGTCTCTGCTATATTCTCCAAATTGTGGATTGATACTGCAGATTGTAAAATCCTTAAGTTCTTCAATATAATTAAAAGTTGAAATGGATATTATTTTTGATAGTTAATGATGAAATAGACATTATTATAGATATTATGTGTATTATTTTAGATAATTTCTCTGTTATATATTTCAGTCCATGTGTAACAATATTTTGTATCCTCAAAATCAACTTTTAAACATACTCTGTTATTGTGGAGCCTGAATAATATATAGATTCAATACTTTATGACAGGCTAATTTATATTTTTGGTCCCTTGCTTTACACCATACATGTTTTGTATTCTAGAAATGGTATAAATTATCTTGAGATTCAATGAAAACTAAGACTGAGTTCTCTTTGTAATCCATTAACTGATGTATAAGTAAATAGCTCTTTGTGGTTGTATCATGTAATGCTTTAGCCCTGGTTAAGATTTAGCTACTCTGCTCTGCAACAGGTAAACTATTGAGTATTAATTTTACAATGTAACTTCCAAAATGATTCATTAATGAATTTAAAGTTACATTGCAATGTCTAAAATACTGAAACTGGAAGAGACTGTTGAATGTGACATTTTAACAACTTTGAAATAAAGGTTACTGTGTATAACAAAAGTGTGAGAAAATATTATTTGAAATTAATACAGCAGATAATCCAGTAATGGCAACTTACTTGCTTTGTATTTCTTCAGAAAATAATGGTATCCATTTATCATAAACTCAAATGAAAATAGAATTCTGTATGTTGTTGCACAAGGAAATAGAGTATGTAACATTATAACTTCCTCAGTCCTATCTTTGTAGAAGTGTGACCAACAAAAAGCATGCATTAATTATGTAGCAGCATTCTATTGCCTCTTTCATTGTATTTATCATTGTGTAAATTTGATTGTGTCTCTGACACAATTGTTTTTCACTCATGAATTTTTACCTATTAGAGATACTTTTGTTATTTATGAATACAGTTCTTCATATGTGGGAATAATTCAGATGTAATTAGAAGTTTGTGACTGAAAGTTTGGATATACCTTCATGTAATCACCATCTCCTATCTGTCAGAAAGCTGACCAGGATTTTGATGAGAATACTGTGATTTTGTTAAAATAATTTATGGCAGGCGACTCATTTGTTTTGCCAGAAACTGTAAATGCAATGCATTTTCCTGGTTATTTGAAGTGTTTACAATGTGTAGATAAGTATCTTCTAAATAAAGCAGCAAAAACAAACATGCAAAAATATAAGAAAGTTATATTAGGCAATATACATGATTACCATGAATTATAATTAATACCACTGAACTGTATAATGTGAGTTATAATTTATGGAGTGTGACTTTTAAAACTATTGCAAGCAATGTTAATGTTTCACCAAGTATTCAGTAATCTCTCTAAGATACTCTCTATGCTAGTTTTCATGCATTTGTAGTTTTTTTGAGAACCATGTTCCATTATTGTGTTTAAAAAGAATTTAAAAAAAGATTCATCTTATTCTGAACCTACCGTGAGGTCCACTTCCATAGCCAAGAATCAGATCTTCTCCATATAACTCCTGCAGTTACTTATGAATGGAAGAATAGGTCCAAATGCAATATGGATAAAGATTTATGTGAAATTTTTGGCTGCAAGTTTTATTAGCACATTAATTATATTACATTACATCATTTAAGCAATGAATATTTAACTGAGCATTACTCATAATTGCGCCTTTCCTATTCCACCTTTATAAAATGACCCCACATAAAAAAATATAATGAATCTTTTCATAGGAAAAATACAAGTAATTACATGAAAGAGATAAAAATATCACAAGCTAATGAAAAATCTCATATAATATTCCATTGGGTACATTTGGCAGTGTGCTTCATCTTTTGATATAGTACCAGCTAACTGAAATTAATCTGCCCCTATATAAATGTTACAGTTTCTGAAACTATGTATCTGACTGCAGAAATGACACAAAGTAATGTTTAAAAGTTGCCTTTTATGATGAATTTGCAGTAGTACAAACCAAACCTTTTAAGGTAAAAGTGTTGTTCAAAGGTAGAATACGGTATGAAATACACAAGTTTTTACCAGCTTGTTTGTAACTTAGATTACCATTGATTTCATCTTTGAAGAGTTTCAGAGTTTCACATTTCAAAATATATAATTCTGTACATGTATGAACAGTAAGTATATATGTGAATAACAAAGGAATACTGCTGTTCAGTTTCCAATTCCAGTTAGCAGCTAGTTTCATTCTTGTGGCTGGGTTTTTTTGAGCACTTTAACATGGGCATGGGGAGTCATAATCACTAGAAACTTTTATTGACTTTAATGCAGAATGATAAAGTCACCAGTAATACTGCCTGTGAGAGAAAACTTTGTGCAATTAAAAATGTATGTCACGTTTCCTATTTTTTTTTTAATTTTGAAAGCATTGTACTACATAATGCTTGTGTCTATACAGTTAATATTATAACTGAAAAACTTGTAACGTCTCCAGATGTAAAGAACTATAAACCTGCAATGCTCACATGCTGAAATGTGTTTCCTGTGGTGTAAAACCTTTGTGTGGTACTAAGGAGTGAAACTGCCGTCAGGATTTGTTAAAGGAATTTTGGTGATATTTAAATGCTTTTCATGACTTTATCATTCAGGCTGAGAGTGTGTGCACTGCCTGACTGTCTAACAAGTGGCTAGTCTTCAAAGGGATCCAACTGTTTTGTTTTAAGGAAAAATACTTTGATTTCCAAAACAGCAACTGGTAAATTGTGGATAAGTAAGTCTAATCTTACTCTGCGTGCTTTTAAAAAGTTTGCCTATATTCAAAATTGATAGATTTTAAATGCTTTTAACAGTCAGTCCACATATGCTGTGATCTGTGCCTTTGTCAGTTTAAGCTATACTTGAGATAACCAGTTTTTTCTTACAGCACAAATTCAGAGATAAACCTGGGAGATTTATCCCATTGACTTCAGTAAATGAAGAATTTAATCACTTCATTTTTAGCCATTTCTCACTTTTCCTCTTATTTTACTGTTTCAGTCACCTGAGCCCGAGCAGTAAAAGTGCCTTTTTTGCTGTTGTGTAGTGATCAGTCACAGACATAAATCCAGATTATTCCTCATTTAAAGCCCTTTACTGCATAAAGCATCGTTGATATTAACTTTTGGTTCTCTTTCTTATTATTTGTTCTTATTTAACTCTTTCTTTTATAATGCTGTGAAGAAGGATAAGCTACTTTGGTTGATTTTGCTGTCATTGGCACACAGTCTTTTGCAACAGAGGTGGTGTGAAGCCTTTCTTGCCCTCAGAGAAGCTGCTGCCCAAAAAGGGGCTCTCAGGGAGACACCCACCAGCAAAGTACGACACCTTGCTCCCATCCACACGCGGTGTTGTGAATCACGCCATCTCCCTGCCATGCTCTTGTGCCATGAACTGCACAGAGAGAGGAATACTTGCCTAGATGTGCTTTGCGGCAGATCAAAAGATTGAAACTCAGATTGGTCATTTAATTAAAAATCTGTATTCTGTTGCTTATCTGTTTATAGTGATAGAGTTTTCGTAAGCTACTGGTAGACAGCAAGTGTCACTAAATACCACTGCTTATCAGTGTGACTGTTTATTCCTGAAATGGAAGCCATGTTTCAGGTCACCTGTACTACAACCCAAAGAGAAGGGGACCCCATCAGCTCAGTGCATTCTGTTAAACCAACACAAGTACTCAAAACAACCCTTATCTAAGTTTAACTCGTTTAGCATGCAAGCTTTGTGCTGACCTGTGACACAAAAGTGCTTTTGCATCGTGCCTGTAGTTAGGTACAGTTTTAGGGAGGTAACAACCATACTTTGTACTTTTGCTGTGAGGAGCCAAAACACTTTCTAGTGGTTTGTAAAGAAGTTGATAACAAATTTATAAATCTGTATCAAAAATGTCACAATTTATATTGCTTTCAAATGCTTATAAATAGAGGTAATTTTCCTTGAGCAACTGTGCAAAATCATACCAAGATTACTAAAGTAATTGTTGCTAGCTTTGTAGTTCAAGAACTTCAGCTTGTGTCTTAAAGGTGGAGTATATTGTTCTCGTTTGCATCAGCATCAGTCTGATGTAATTCTTTTTGCAATAACAGTATCATTTGAGCTTTGTTTTTAATCTGAACAAAATTTGACCGACATTTTGCAAGTAAAAATTTCATCTTCAGTATCTCCTAATCTGTTACAGGTCAATGCACAAACTGACTCAACTGGAAAGACTTGATCTGGGCAATAATGAATTCTCTGAACTGGTAAGAAATGCACCATTTTTTAATAAAAAGCCTGTGTGTTTTGCATGCTCTGTGTATGGGGCATTAAACATTTACTTAAAAGGCATTATTGTATTGTGGCCAGATGCTATGGTCACATTTCCTTGTAGAATAGAAGATTTATCATAGTTCATGAGGTGAATGCTGATAAAACAACATGCTTCATCTACATCAGGCTTCTGCGGTTCTGATCAAGGTCACGGATGATTCTCACTGTGAGCTGGTTGCTACTGCTGCAGTACTTCAATGTGGGATGAATTGGTGATCTCAGTATAAATACTTAGGTCAATTATGTATCAATTTCTTAATGTCTATCACTATATTCTGCAAATATTAGAAATTGCTATTAGCAGAAGTAAATTTTAGACTCCAAAAGCAGTTTCTGTTCCTAAGATGAGAATTAGGTTCCATGAGATTTAATAGCTTTCAGGACTTTTCTGTAGTCTTAGTATAGAAAATAATCAAGTTGCTGGTGCCCTTTAGGTATGTTTCTACTACATCTATAGCAATTGACACTTCTCAGAAACAATATGTGGGTGTTTAAACTGTGTTTTAAAATGGGCCTGTTTTTAAGGAGAGCTCACTGACTTCATCCTGTGGGAACTGTAAATACGTTAAGAGAAGCAAAACTTAGAAAAACTGCTGCCTCATCCTTTTTGAGACTATCCCTGCTAGGGCTATTTGGAAGGGCCTGTACTTTTGTAGGACAACAAATTAATATTGTGGCACTCAGTGTTGCACTGATGGTGAAATAAATGTCTGCGTGTGCCTTATCCACCAACAGTCTGTCCAGTGACACTTGAACCCTGTGAGCAGAACCCCCTTTCCTCCAGAGTCATAGAAGAACAATCTGTGAAAATAGTGCTGCTGAATCAGGGCGTACAATTTTATGAGGGTGATATTTCGTCTAGCTTTAATTAAAATTAAGTTAATTTCACTTTAAACAAATTTTGAAATGTCATCTAGTAGTAGAAAGATGTAGCAAAGAGTCTACATTTGGTTTGTAGACAGTGCTCTATCTTCTACCATTATGGTTATAACCCTGTTAATGATTGCTAATTTATACTGCTATGTAGTAGAAAATAGATGGTTTTAACTCAGATTTTTAATTAAAACTAGAAATCTTTTGCATAGATAAATAGAATAAAATTTTCAGAAGTGGTATTTGGAATTTTGGTCAAAAGAAATATATATATGCTTCCTAAATTCAGAGTGTGTCTTTTTTGGGGGGTGAGGAGTTGGGGGTGGTTTGGTTTTGTAGTGTTTGTTTTAAATGACTTCAACATCATTCTATGGTTTTGCATTGTAGCATGTTGTCCCCTAAGAATGATAAACCAGGAGTTCGGTGGCCTCATAATGCTATTAGGACCAGACTGCCTGAGTTGACTGGTTTTTCAGGAAGCTGGTCCAAAAATGTATGAACTAGAATCAGATGCCAGAAGCAAAATGGGCCAAGAGGCAAGGGAACAGCATGCATCTGTAGAAACAGCATAGGAAAAGTGGTACTAGTTTAAATCAAGATCACCTGGAAAAAAAGATCGAAAGGTTCTGTTTTCATGGATTCTGAAAAACTGATTTGGGTTTCAATAGAAACTTCCTTCTTATTGGAGAAAAATACTACCTAGAACTGTGGTGGAGTGGAAAAGCTTAATTTCTTTGACAGTCCATCCCTGGACTATTGAAGTCCCTCCCTTTGCACTGGGAGACTGTGCTCTTCATACAGACAAACTGGAGCAATAGGCATGGGGTTAAGAATAAAGGTAGTTGCAAAAATGAAGTAATTCCATTCATTCATTTTCTGGAAACAAGATTATACAAATCATGAGTTAGGTATGTGTTCCTAAAATAGAAATTGCCACTTCCTAAATAGCAGCCGTATTCAAGTTACTTAATGTAATCAAGGAAGGGAATAGGTAATCTGTCACAGGTCTCTGGGAAAACTGGAGCATTGAATCACAAGGTATGGGTCAATGGTTTGAAATTTCCCAATCTTTGAAGTGTCAAAAACTGGCACTGGACAAATGATAAACAGCAATTGTAGTACCTCTGCCTGAACGGAGGGGGAAGGCTGGTGTAGTTCTTTCCAGAGTTTCAGGAGTCTGCTGTCAGCAGCAAGGCCTTCAAAGAAATTTTGAAAGAAAATGGTTAAAGGTAGGGAGAAAAGGAAAAGGAAAGAGGATAAAATGTAAATAATATTTTTAAATGTAAATAAATACTTTTACCAAAGACTGTCAGTCTTCAATTCAGACTTGATACTAGGAAGCATTTCTTTACCAAGAGGGTGGTCAAACACTGGAACAGACTTCCTAGAGAGGTGGTCAATGCTGCAAGCCTGTCAGTGTTTAAGAGGCATTTGGACATTGCCCTTAATAACATGCTTTAACTTTTGGTCAGCCCTGAATTGGTCAGGCATTTGGACTGGGTGATTGTTGTACGTCCCTTCCGACTGAAATAGTCTAGTCTAGTCTACTCTATGCTATGCTATGCTATGCTATTCTATTCTGTTCTAATTGTGGCAATCTACATGGAAAACGAAAATATTCTCCAAAAATGCCTCAGGAGAAGCATTTCTAACAGAGACAAATAAGTTTTTAATACCACTTATCAAAACATTAGTGAGGTCTCATCATGGTATACCATAATCCATGCTCAAGAAATTTCAAATCAAACTGTAATATTTACAACATAGGAGTAGTCTGTTGCCTTTGAGAAGGGTGTCTGTCTAATGAGAGGAATTTAAAAGAAAGTTAACATCAAAAGGGAAAATTATCTGTAATAACCTTAGTCAATGAACACTCTGGAGGAATAAGAAACATTAATCATCACAAGAACAAATAGTATAAAATGACCATTAACCAATTTAGCCTGGAAATTAGAAGTGGTTTTAAACCGTTGAAGGACAATAAAATTTCAATAGAATTAGCCAAGGCAAAATAAATTATCTTTAAAATATTGACTAATCATTTTTTAATAGAAACACATTATGTGGCAACATGCAAAATTGAGGGATTGAGCTCTCCAGATTAGCATGTTCTTTCTTATCTGATGATGCACCAGGAGCTTCTCCCATAATGTACCATGTGACCTGATCAACTGGAAAATTATATTTCTTATGGGAATTACAACATTCCAAAGAATTTAGGCCACAGGAGATAATTGGAGGTCTCTCTTAAGCTCCTGTATGCTAGACAGATACATTTGTTTCTAGATGTGTTGAAGTAATTCCAGTGAAGTAGTACTACAGACTTTTAAAATGCTAGAATCCAATTTAGTCAGAACCAAATGAAACATTTAATATCAGTTTCTGGCAGACTGAAAAAAAATCTCTACAACTTTACTGAGCTAGGGCAAATTGAAAGTCTTGTTTTACCTGTGAAAAGAGTGTTTCATGAAAAAGAAAAATACTGCTTATGCTGAAACATGGAAATATTTGTGACTTGATAATTCTTGATTTTGGCAGCTGTAAGGAATGAGAAATGATTTGGGGAATTGTCTTTTTCAGTTTTTCTCACTAATATCCTATAATGTTGAAAAGAATAGAACATCTTAGATTTAAGATTGTAATTTTAACGCTTTATCATTGCATACTGCTATTTTTAACTACTGAATATGACAATTGCAAACATTACATCATACATAAATGCAGTATATCCAGGAAAATGTTCAGCAATATGACTCTGTTAAGCTACTTTTAAGACTACAAATCATGCAAAAGGCAGAGTTTTGGATGTGCTGCAAGATGAGATTTGGACTTTCTTTTCAGTGCATTGTTTCTGAAGCTCCACTTCTCTTATTTGCCTTGTTCATAAATTGCATACTGCCAATACACTATTTAGAACAAGAACTTCTAAGAAGTTCTTCTTTGTATTCATTCTTTTCCAAAGGGTTCTTAAATTTTACAAGTTTTGAAAAAGAGCAACAGTGGTTAAATTAAATGAAATGAGCATACTGTTCATGTCATTAACTATCTGAAAGTCTGATGTGGGTTATAAAAAGAAAAAAAAGAAGGTAAAGAGGGAATCTTTTTTTTAAGAAAATATTGATTTGTATTTAACTAAAAAAATACTGATTTATTTAACTGTCCATAATACTATATTCTTTTCCTCAGCCTGAGGTTCTCGAACAAATACAGAATCTAAAGGAATTGTGGATGGACAATAATTCTTTGCAAATACTACCTGGGGTATGAACATTTATTTTATGTAATTCAATTATTGTGTGATATAGTGAACTATTTACTTCGCAGTAAATAAATGCATGTGCATTTTCTTGAATGGGTACATATTCCTAGTTCATATAGTCATTAATTATTATCAAGAAATAAAAGTCTCAGCATAGCCATTCATATAAAAACCTTTTAAATGTTGTGTTTTTACATGATAGTGTCTAAATGGGGATGTGTCTGTTTTATTTAAGCCTTGCATAGTTTTCATTGTGAGGGGAAATTGTTTCCTAATGTCTTCTTGGTCACCATGTATTAACTAGCAGTTTTATAAAAACCCACAAGAGTTTTAAAAAGGAAGAGGAAACATTAAGTAATCTAAATAAACTTAAAAATAACAGATGGTATGTACAGATTCAACTATACTAAAAGCAATTCTGAGGCAGTGGAATGTATTTCGCTAGAAAGCACTCCAAACAAAAAATATTTTACAATCTAAACATTAGGGTCATGGTTATATATTAGTGCTGTTTCTGAATTGTTGCTACCCCACAGTAGAACTTTGATTTTCAATTTTTATTGCCATAAACTATTTGAGATTATCACTCTAAAATACCTACACTGATTATGACTTGAGAAAGGGATCCCTGTTATTAGCGTTTTATCGCACAGGTAACAGATCATGTGTTTCACACAATAATGCTCTTCATTGCTGCAGGGAAAATGTAGAACTAGATCTAGCACAAACATGTCTAGGTGTTGAAAGAAGAAGTACTTCCTCTTTCAGCTTTGAACATCTGTTAATCAAAATTCAATTTTTTGCATTAAGCGATGACTGTTTTTTGTCTTACATAGATTACATTCATTTTTTATTTTGTATTAAGTGGGATGTTTGCACAGAAAATGATCATTTTCAGTCACTGTCCAAATATCCACTTTTTGAGTGCTCTGTTAGTGAAAAGAAAAGCTGATGTTAAAACCATGTCTTGATACTGAAACAAGCTGGAGATCAAGAACAGAAATATTGTGGTATTGTTGCTGCAGTGTAACGGAGTAGAAGAAATATCAGATATACAAAAGAGTGTGAGCACAAACATTTTAACCATTATTCTGTTTCTTTTCTGTCCACAATGAAATTGGTTAATATATCCAGTGCTAAAATGTGTTCCAAACAGAGTCGTGCTGAGCTATCATAATCCCTGGAGAGGATATTTACAGTTGAAGATCTTCAGTAGATTGTGGAACTGAATCCCAAGGAGCGTAATTATTTTCAGTGAATAATTCATGTTTCCTGAATCTGATCCTAGTAGACCCTAGATGATGTTTTATGAAAACCTTCTCCAAAACAAGAGATTTAAAACAGTTAATATTAGCTTTAAAATTTGACTTTTAAAAATAGAAAGGAAATACCAACTGGTAATTGATTTTGAAGTTTAGAGATTTGCCAGGTTTCCCATGTTGATAATTCAGTTTTTAAAAAAGTAGTCTGTGCTAGAAACAAAGATTGTATTCAACTATTACTATGGGTAGAATGGCAAATGTTGGGGTGAAAGGGAGGTTTTCCTTTTATGCAATAACTCAGATATGATTAAAGATAACATGAAACTGCCTCCTTAGAAGCAGAGAGCAGATCTCAGCAAGGTAAGAGATGAAAAGCAAGCTATATTCATATTGTTTTGAAAGTACCCGTAGATGAAGCTGTCTGAAACTATTTTCCTTTTTCATGTGTACAGTAAATAACCACTAAAAGTATATGTAAATAACTAAAAAACCCACTCCAATGAACTTTCATAGAATCCATACACTTCACAAGCAATTCCCATGGCTTTCCCAAAATCCATAAAGGAAGTTCCCACATAGGCCGTGAATGTTTATTCATCTGGTTGGAAACAGTATTTCTGTGGATGCACAGCATTGCAACCACATGGAAGCTCTCCGTAACAGTATTGTGCTGTGCTTGTCTCACTCCTACTGTGTAATCCTCCAGTCTGTGTCATAGCTCTGCCACTGGGTCATAGATCCAGCTCATTTTCTCTAGATCCAGCAGTGATACTTTGCTGTTCCACCTGTAGGTTTTAGTTTAAGGAAACTAACAACATCTATTTTGTTGATTTTCTTGCTGAAATTTCACATCTAGAAAGAAGTGACCATCTTGTGGTTATGGATCAAGAAGCAGGTTGCTTCTACAGGCTTCAAACCCTTACATGCTACATAGATTTTCAAGGCAATTAAGGAAGAATTCCTGTCATGTTGCTCATTGATGTTATAGCTGCAGTTACACACTATATTCACAAAAGTGTACTATTAGGGTTAACCGCTCGTAATTGAACTATGAATATCTAAAGTCTAATTTTAGATTTTATAAAATTCAGAGAATCAGTTTGACACAGAAAAGCTTTACCTGCATGTCTAGCCTCAGTGTCCTTAAGGACTGCTGTTATGAGTAGATGTGAACTGTGAGTAAATGCCCCTTGGATCTGTGTCCAAATGGAGAAATAATACAGCTATATGACTGAGAACTCAAACTTTCAGCAGATTTAATGAACGTGGAACACATTAATTAGTTTGGTATGTGTCATTTAGTTTGGTACAGTTCCTTTTGCAGTTATCTGAACAGGAAGGCCATTAGACCACGACTGATATTGCTTCAGTGAAATAAATCTTGTAAAAAGGATGCTAAGATAACTGAATTTAATCCTGTATTACTATTGTTTGTCTTTAATTAAACTTAGAAACTGGCATGCAGTGTGTATCTGTTCAAGTAACACTTTGTAACATGCTATTAAGTCTATAGGGAAGTTAAAACAGCTCGTGTACCTGGATGTGTCAAAAAACAGGATAGAAACTGTTGATTTGGACATATCGGGATGTGAAGGACTGGAAGATCTCCTGTTGTCATCCAATATGTTGCAGCAACTGCCAGACTCCATAGGTGAGAAAACCTTGGGATTTCTTGTAATCTTTTACCGTTGAGGATTCCATTTATATCTTCTTTTGGTAATGATGAGACTTTATAATAGCTGGAACAAGAACTGCTATTAAATTCCAAAGGAGTTTGAAACATCTGTGTCTGGACAGTCCATGAAGACCAGTATGTGAAGTCAGGGAAAAAATCCATGGTTAGTAGATATTGATTATTCCGATACACTATTTTAAAGAAAATAAGCAAAGAAATATATAATTGATCTGATCTAAATTTGAAAGTAAGTGTAATAGTGATTATGTTAACAGTGTGAAATTCTTGAAAGAAATTGCTACTCTTAGTTACAGTAGTGCAATTCCATATGAGAGCATTAAACAAAGAAATAGTTCAAACTATTCATTTTCTTTTTTGACTATATTGAATGCATAGGATTTCTGAATTATTTAGAATATACAGAAATTCTGGAAGCTAAGTTGTTGTAGGTATATCACTCTATACATCTGAATATTTCATTTCAGTCTTGGTCCCTTATAGTTTCTCTAGAAACACTTGATGTCTTTCCTCTCTTCTATTCTTTCCAGCTGATGAGCCCACTATATCATCATCAGCTTTTTCACTTTCCTAAGTGCATCCCTTTGAACATAGAACAGTTAAATTCCCCAATTTTTAATCAACTTAGTCAATATTCCAGAATGTATTGCTAATTAATAATCCTGTACTACATGAATGTTACTAGATGTCTTTTACAGCTGTTTTCCATTTTGGTCTTCTACATCTCACCATAAATTCTAGATTTTTTGCTTTATGTGGTTTTCTGATATGCATATGCAGATTGATTTTTAGAGGGCATTTAGCTCCTGTACAAAAGGAATAAATGTTTACATTTTGAATTATACATTTTTGCAATTAGATATATTCAGTTCTCATTTCCAAATTCCTATTACTGAATGGTAATAGATTTAACAGAAGCAAAGCAAAAAGAGTAATTTAATACTGCATTTTCAGGTGAGAGCTTGCTGAAATTCATTTTGGTGAAACATTTTTCCTCTTAAAAGAAAATTTTGTTGAAACCTGGATTCTTCTTGGAACATGTTGATTTTGAAAAAGTTTTTAACAAAAATGTTCTGCAATTGAAATGAGTAGTATTTCTAGTATCACTTTTAATTATACTTTTCATTTGCTTCAGCTTTCATATTATGGCACATACAGTTTAACATTTTTCTCTATATTAGTGATTAATTTATATTATTCCCAGCATTAATTACAGATAATCATTTAAAAAATGCTATTTCAGTATATCCAGAATTGTTTCAGGGAAAAAACAGATTTTGAAATGTTAATAACGTCCAGAAGGTGGAAATCTGTTTCAAGCTCTGTTTCTAGCACTGTAATGGAATATTTTTCCCATTTTTTCTGTCTGTACTTTTCTATTGTTTTCTGCTGTTATGCATTGGTAAAGCAGAAGTTTCATTCCCTTCTTGGTAAATGTTGCCCAGTTAGGCATCTGCTTACACTTAGATATATAATAATTCTTTCAATGATAAGAATTAACCACATATACAAATGCATTCAGGATTGATTCTGGGTTTCAGTCTGATTCTGGTTTTCTGTCTATACCTACATATTGTGAAGCTTTATAAATGTAGCATTTACTTTAGATAATTTACCTAATGTCCTATTATGACCTGAGCACATTTTAATCAAGGCAACAGGACTTGGATTTGATTGAAACATTAATACATAAGTAGAAGTACTGCTCTTCCTACACAGATAAGATACTATTCTCTTTTTTTACCTTTTTTCAAGACTCCAGAAATATAATTCATATTTTACTTGCAGTTCAGCTTAACATTTTATCAGTGCTTCGTTTTGATGAAACATATTTTCAATGTGACATGAATGTGTCTGTGTGCTGTCCTATATACAGATGTTTTCTAAAATCTAGATCAAAGTTATTCAGTGTTAGAAATCGTTGTTTATTTAAGGATATGGGAGATTACAGAAAGTAAAAAAGATTAATGTGAAATATTTTTCTATTACTTCTTCCTTACCTGTTTTGTAGGACTGTTGAAAAGGCTTACAACTCTAAAAGTAGATGACAATCAGCTTACAATTCTGCCAAATGCAATTGGAAAGTGAGTATAAGTCTTGTGATTTTCAACATTAAGTAAAATGTGTTTTCCCTTCTGCTTGCGGAATGTGGGTTTTTTAAAATAAAAAATAAGACAAAGATGTACTGAAATATAAAATAATTTCAAATTACGTGCCTAACACCCAGCTTATAACATTTAAATTTGGAGCAACACTCTTACTTCTGTGGGCTTATACTGGCGTAAGTGATAAAAAGATGAAATATATCACATTTTCCAAGAAGAACAAAGGTATTTTTCTGTATGAATCACTTGCAATTTAGATGATTAGAGCAGCAAAAGTAGAAGAAATAGAAGTGTTTGGGGGAATACGTCTGTTTCCATAGCAACAGCCAGTACTTGATGCTGAAACGAAAATGGCTGTAAACCTCATATGTATGAAGATGTCTTAAAATATTGAAGTAGCAGAAATGAAAAAGTCATGACAATTTCATAGGTGCATACATCAAAATGTGAAAGTATTGTATAAGTAATCTTATTATGAAAACCACTAATGACGCCCTTTAGCTATCATTTTGTCAGATATTACATGATCACTGGTGCAAAATTCTGTCTTGTACTGCTGTGTGTCTTGGAGCTTATTGCTAAATGAAATCTGCAATTTATTGTAAAATTCAAGACAGATGCAAGCCTGTCTCCAGATACGGAAACAGGTGATTCTTTACATTGTTTCACAGTACACATATCCCTTTCTAGCAGAACATATCTTTAATATTTTTGTAGCGTGCCTCTTCCTCTACATATTTTACTTCTGAAATGCTATATAAACTGATATTTGGAAAAAAATTCAGAGTACATGGTCCCTGGCTGCCTTCTACAGCTATAGCTCTAGTGTTTTCATCATCGTCCTTGCACCAGGAGTAGTATTCATGCAGAAGAAAGAGAGTTCAGCCTAAGAAATGATTGTCTGTCTGGTGTGACTGAACACATGGTTATACCATTTATACCAATTCTGTGCTGTCAGCATGAAACATTAGGAATGGGGCATCTGTGAGCAGAGTTGCACTCTGACTCTGTGCCTTTTCTCTCAGTGCAAAACCTGTTCTCTCTTCAGCAGGTTGTAGCTCAACAAACTATTTCATTAGAAGTAGTTTTCTTAAGCCAGAGCCATTGCAAAATTAAAGCCTAGAAGGCTTCGTTTAGACTTGTCTGCAAATTTTTTTGGTGCTGGTGAGGCTGCACCTCGAATACTGTGTTCAGTTTTGGGCCCCTCACTACAAGTAGGACGGTGAGGTGCTGGAGCGTGTCCAAAGAAGGGCAGTGAGGCTGGTGAAGGGTCTAGAGCACAAGCCTTATGAGAAGCAGCTGAGGGAACGGGGGTTGTTTAGCCTGGAGAAAAGGAGGCTGAGGGGAGACCTTATCGCTCTCTACAACCACCTGAAAGGAGGCTGTATTGAGGTGGGGGTCGGTCTCTTCTCCCAAGTAACAAGCGATAGGACGAGAGGAAATGGGCTCAAGTTGCGCCAGGGGAGGTTTAGATTGGATATTAGGAAAAACTTCTTCACCGAAAGGGTAGTCAGGCACTGGAACAGGCTGTAGTCAGGCACTGGAACAGTCTGCCCAGGGAAGTGGTTGAGTCCCCATCCCTGGAGGTATTTAAAAGATGGGTAGATATGGTGCTTAGGGAAATGGTTTAGTGGTGGACTTGGCAGTGCTAGGTTAGGGTTGGACTTGATGATCTTAAAGGTCCCTTCCAACCTAAATGATCCTATGATTCTATGAAATATGATAGTACAGTGAGGTCTCTAGAATAGAAATAATCTCTAACCTGCACAGCCAGTGCTTTACTACTTCTGCACCTGTTTTATAGTAATAATTTCAATAATAATTTACTTACTGGTGTGCCAGTCAGGAAAAAAAATCCAGATTTGTGAACTATTGCAACTGTAGCAACTGAAAGCTCAGGTTTGGCTTACCACGCTGTACTTCTTGCAGTATCTTTACATTTATGTGATATTCATGGAGAGTATTAAAAGTTGGTTATATGAATCACAAAAGGGGAAATCTTATAAACATTCTGTAGCAGTAAATTCTGATAGGCAGCGAAAGCTTGTAAGGCTCAAAGCTGTACTGGACACTGCAAAAAGGTTGATATAATGTCCAACATTAACAACTTTTGGGGTCAATTTTTAAAACCTGTCATGAAGGTGCTTTCTTATTTAGTGAATTGTTCAAATTGAAGGGGAACCCCTCTTGTTTTTAATAAATATCTGTTCCGTATTGTTTGGCATTGAGCCTTGATTACATTTTTAAAGACGCATACTGCAACTCTAAAAGGTGTATATGCTAATCACCTAATATTATCACATTATTTTTGAGTGATTGGTTGTGCTTTTTAAATGAAGTACTTTCTCTCATTTAATGAGGACAGTGTCTCCCACATCAGAATGAACTTCCTTTCTCTGACTCATCCATTTGGATAGTTTCCTACTGGGTCTCTTTCTCCAAAATGATAGTCGTAGTACCCACTGCAGAGTATATTATTGTCATACAAAGATTAGCAATGTGGAGGAGGGAACTCTCCCTCCAGGGACCAATTTCATGATGAGACACAGAGCACTTCAACGCTGTCTGAGTTCATGTTGCTAATAGTGAACCGCCACCCTCATTTTTGGCAGTCTTGTTCAAAGGGCAAGCCTGTCAGTGGCATTGAGAGTTTGACCCTGCAAGATACTATGGACAGTAGACCCAGCTTAATAAAACATTCCTCATAAAATCAGTGGATTCACGTTGATTAAAAGTACCATGTCAGACCCAAAGACTGGAGATTTTATCTGTAGGACCTCAGTGAATGCCCATGCTCCTACTTTGTGGTTAGGAGGGTGTCATGAGGGAAGTCGTGACCCATACATAGGTAATGGTGCAGTAGCTCAAGAGCCAGTGTATTATGTTAGATGAGTGTTTTGTGCATGTGTCTAGTCTATGCCATATCTGACAGTACAAGATGCTGCAAAGGAAAGTGTAAACTTGTATCCCTGGGTCTGCAAAATTCCTTTTGCCAAATAGTGGGTGTAGCTAACTCTGAGGATTTAGGTTGCTTTGGCAGTTATCTGGGTGCTGTGGCTGTTGGGAGAAAAGGGCTGTGACTGTATGAAATGGGGCTGAGATGGGTTGGAACTACTCTTATTCATGGCAGTCTTCATTCTCCATGAATCGCTCTCTACTAATCTGTCTAAAAATATTCTTCATCTACCTTAGGACATGTACTGTGAACTGCTTCATTTCAGTGGGTGCCAAACTGAACAGCAGGTGCATACCTGATTTTTGTCTGCCTTTCTTTAAACCTATCAAGAGTGATCTGAATTTAGCCCAAGAAGGCAGTAAGGTTAATGATATTTTAACTAAATTAGCATTGTTGCATTTATAGCTGTTATTGTCAACTTACTTTCATGCACAATCCATGATGAATGAAAAGTCACTTTCCGAAGTGCGTATTCTTTTAACTGTGGTAGTTATAGAGATAAAATATAGTTTCATGCTGACTTTGTTGTTTTTATTGTGGCCATCTTCATTTGTCTGCTGCTGATGTCATCAGGAAGGAAAGAAGCTAAGAATGTCTGTGCCAGACAATACCTTTCAAATAAAATTCTGTTGTCTGATAAAGTCATTCTTCACTATCAGGGAAACTTCCACAGTTACAGATCAGAGTATCAGATTTTTGATTGGCATTGGAAACATAGTAGTTTTCAATTAGCTTATCTATTTTCAAGCTTTTCTGGTTGTGTTATCATCAGTAAAAGGAAGAATGTGTGCATCTTGCAATTTAACAAGCTTTCCAGTTGGACTTCACTCTGTCAAGCACATATTCTGTATGAAGCAGGTAAACATGACTGAATTATGCCTTTACTGAAATTGTTTTGTATCTAGTTTGAAATAAATTGTGGTGGATACAAAGCTTGTATTAACGAAAAGCTATAACCAAACCTGGAAGAGCTTTTGGATATATGCCATGCATCTCTTTCACTAATCACTGTATGATTCACTTTGGCTTTTCAGTCTACTGAAATACAGCAATTACAGGAAAGTTCTGAGAATTCCATGTTAGGAATAGCTATTTCTGGTTTCATGTTTCATAAAATTTGAAGGCTGAAAGACCTTTTTTTGATTAAGAAACTGGAATAAAGGTAAGTTAGACATACAGTGAAGGTTCAGTCCTGCAGCTGTGACTCATGTAAATACTAAGGAGCAAGGTTTGTAGCAGAGGTAAACTTTTTATCAGATCTACCAAAACATTTGGGAAAAAAAAAAAGACAATCTTCTGGGCACCTAGTCCCTTCCGTCAGTGGACAGGGAGATGGCAAACATTGAGGAAGAAATAATTGCTTACCATTTAACCTTACTATTAATTAAAGCACCTGAGAGAAAAAGGTAGTACATGTGGAGCAAAAAAGAGGCAGCAGAAGCAGGGAACAATGACATTTGTAATGCCAAAAATTTTAATTTGTAATGCCAAAATTTTTATTCCATGAGCTGAATAAGCAGTGCAGTACAGCATTCATTTCAGGAATTTTTATATCCAGCCTAATTTTTTAAGAGATTCAGTAGATATTTCTTCAGAATATTTTTATATATGTGTGTGTGTATGTGCATAATATATATGTAAAGTGTATATATTTTTATATATCTATATATATATATAATATGTATTACATATATATTCCTGTTTGTGTTATTTGCATTAGCAAAGGTCAAATTGTTGATTCTCAACCACCAAAGTAAGATTGATGTTTAAGTGTTGCCTGATACCACCTGCTGTCTTCAGGGAAAAGCAAACACTGAAAAAAGTCCTGAGGATTGTGTGACTGGCTAGGACAGGGTCCTGAAGAGCAGAAGAATGCCTCTGAAGGCCATTTCATACTGGAGCGGTGGTGGGTGGAGAGGTTCAAGTGCTGACTGTCAGCGCTCTGCGTTGGGTCAGCTCTCTTGGCATTTTCTTGGCTTTCATTCTGCATAGGTGCCAGCTGCTGTCAGAGAAGGTCGTGGCTTTTATGATGTGAGCCCCTTTCGTTTAGGACTCAGTACAAAACCTCCAACTCATTTCACAACCTCTTCATGGATAATAAAATGCAGGAATATACTGAATGCCAATTCCGTGCCCTAGAAAGGTGTGCTTTCTCTATACGTACTGCACTCTGGTACTGTGGGCTATGGCTAACCTGGACTTCAGTTCAACAGGGGAGCTTCTGTCAGCTGTCTCTATTTCATCCTCTTTCCTGAAAACATGATTACGTGAAAGAAAGGTCAGGTCTCTTTCTTTCCACAGTTTGACACAATACAACAATCTAGGAAAAGGGGTACAAGACAGAAATGGAGATTATTTAATTTTCTTTAAAGAGAGGCCTTGAGTGTCAGAAGATTACTTACTTTGGTCTGCTTTGTTTCGGTCCTTGCCATACAGATACCCTTTCAAGATCACTTTTTAGCCAGTTTTCTCAACATGTGAAACATAAGCACTTTTACAAAAGCTATGTCTCACTACAGCAGGCTGAGATTACTTTGCAGAGTTTGGATCCAAGTTCATCTTTTTTCTCTACTGATCTGTATTAGAAATGATGTCGAGTGCATCAATTGGAATATACCCTGGAGGCAATTTCTGCTTCCCTTTCCTTTGCTCTCACCAGTGCTATTTCTTTACCTGTTGTCTGTCTTTGTGTGTCAAGATTATAAACTTTGTGGTTTGATTCTGCAGCTTAGTATGAATTGCCCTGATCACTGTCTGTTTGAAGTACTTGGAATACTTCCTCACTACAAAAGTTAAGAATGATAATGTGGGGAAACTAAGTGGTCTTTCTTAAACTGCCTTCCTGGATAAGATTGATTAACAGTGTCCCTAATAGTTCCTAAAATCATATTATTATAGACTTCTCCTAGGGAAATCTGCAATAAAGGTTCCCTCTTCAGGGCATGGTGTCTGTAGCAGTGTGATGCTTTAAAGCTTTCAAAGGTTTTAGATTCTTAATTTTTGTTGTCTAGTCCTTGTATAGCATCTAAAACAAGTGTATTTACAATTTCAGTTTATCTTTATTAGAAGAATTTGACTGCAGCTGTAATGAGTTGGAGTCCTTACCTTCTACCATTGGCTACCTTCATAACCTGAGGACGTTGGCTGTGGATGAGAATTTCCTTCCTGAACTGCCCAGAGAAGTGAGAAGCTGATTGTGTTTTTAAATTACAGATTGAAATGTTTTGTGGTAGGCCCAAGATTTCATCCCTACTCAGACAAACTATCTGTTAAACCAGTTGTTTCTGCACAATGTGGAAGACCAAATCTTTCTTACATACTCAACAGTAAAATAGTAAAACCAGTAAATTAGTAAATTGATGTAAAGATGAGGGAAGAAGAGTATTGCAATACTCAGAAGAGTATTGCAAGTAACCCTAGGCATTTCCCTGGTGTTACTGACAACAGGAGGGCATTATTTTCTGACTTTAGATTCTGTATTTTCTGCTTTTTGTCAGTTACAGTGAAAACACGATTTGGCCACCTCCTGACATAAAAAGTTAGTGATAAAAAACTTTATCAAAGTAGGTATCCTAACATCTTTGGTTTTTTCATTCCTATAGATTGGAAGCTGTAAAAATGTAACAGTGATGTCTCTGCGCTCTAACAAGCTAGAATTTCTTCCTGATGAAATTGGTCAGATGCAGAAGCTGAGAGTGTTAAATCTGAGCGATAACAGGTATAGTTCACATAATTTTTCTAACCCGTTATAAGAATTTATTTTAAAAAAATTTAAACTATTCTTTTTAGGTATTTGTAAAAATACATGTATATAAAATACATTTAAAAATATAAAAATTATATTTAGAATTACTTAAACTATTTACATGGGAAAAAATCCCTTTTTTTTTTTAAGTCTTTATGGTTTGGTCTTAGTTCCACTGACATCCAAAGAAAAACTTGAATGGGGCTGAGATCTGGGTCTCAGTGTGTTTTAATAGATTAAAACCTGTTTACTTCTTTTATCTCCTGGTGTTTTCATGTGAAAGTGTGATATTTGGCTTTAAAATTGTAGATAACTTTGTAATATTTAATGATTAAAAAATTGAGACAAGCTGATATATAGGAAATCATTAAATGGAAGCACACTAGCATGTTATCCTGACTCCACTGAAATCAAAAGAAAATTTTCTATTTCCTTCAGCAGAGCAAAGGTTTTGTCAAAAAACCAGATTCTTCTGTTCTTATGCACATGACTATTCCTATGAGAAACAGAATGTTTAAAATGAGCCTTTCTTGACACCTATCCCATGCTGCCATAGGCATCAGAAAAGACTGACTTTTCCTTGAAATTTTTACATACATATGTGCCAAGAATATGTTAATTTTCAGTATAACCACAGAAATACAAGTTTGCTCAGTAGTGCAACAAATGATGTGTGAATACCATTTTGTTTCCAGTAATTATCATCCATACTCAGTAAAAATTAGAGGAAGGACTTTATACATCTGTGTCTGATTTACTGTTTACTCAGCAGTTTCGTTGTTGAAATTAAGGTTGACCATAAAATATAAAATGAAGTAATGTAGAAATCCCTGTAATATATTTATTTAAAATTATTCACTTAATTCTGTTAGATGATTTCCGCATTACAATTGTGTATCATAAAATACATTATGTATGAAACCGAACGTAAAGTTAAACTTAACTCTAGTTTGTATTGAAACTGTCCAAGTCCCAGAGTCAAATCTTGGGTCTCTCGATTTTGGGTTTCAGATTCCAGTGCTTTCCCAGGGACAGGGAGTACACTCCCATCAGTATGTCACCACAGCAGTCTATGGTTGTGCTTTTATCTGTACAGCTAGAGTCTGAAACTATTTCAGGCAACACTTTAAACTGCCTAGGCTGGCATTCTTGCCAACAAAGGCAGTCCAGCTTCCCCTCACTGTTCCTGCATCCACATACCCTGTCCTGTCCCAGTGCAATTTTGTCCAGGCGTATGGTGATCTTGAATACGTAGGCGATATAGATGAAAGCAGCCTATCAGGAATATGGTGAGTTTTCAGATGGACGTTTCCAGTGGCTGGTCCACCTTGTTGCTGCACAGCCAGCTGTAGTGGCATGCAGGAGGAGGCACGGAGTGGGCATAGGAGTGGGGAGGCAACAGGACAGTGCTGGTTCAGGGTCTCTTGGGAGTCCAAGGAGCTGCAACTGCAGGGTGCCTTCCCTGGCACATTAAACCAATCTGAGCTGGATCACTCTGCCCTCTTTTCAAACCTGTAATTGTGCCATGAGTTTGCGTTGAGGAAGCAGAAAACTAGTCTACCTCCCCTCCTGCTTTTTGCCAAGTAACTTTTCAGTCAGGTCAACTGCTGATTTCAGGCACATGACTTCATGTGTAATTACTGATTGTGAGTGCTATTTCTGGGGTAAGAGAGGGAGGAGGTGGCTCACTGCTGGGAGGAGGCAGTGGAGGTGGTAAGAGAAGGCCAGGTTTCCTGACCAAGCTGACCTGACAGCTGGATGCCACCAGAACAGCAGTCCTGCCCCACCTTCCTTTTTCCCCAGGTGCCCAGGTATAAGAGAGGATTGGGTTTTCCATTGTGGAGGAAGGTAATTACGGGACCAGCATCCCAGTGATGTGATGTTCCTTGGGGTAGGATGTCGTCTGCTCTCCTTCCCACTCCCCCTTCAGTGCTGGGTTGTAGCCCTGCATCTGCCCTTATGCTTGCTCAGGGCTCACTGGACAAGTCACTGAACTGATTTATCTCACTGAAAATGGAAGAAGCTATTGTTCTTCTTGTTGTGTTCATTTTATGACACTCCTCATGGTTCATTTGCTCACCGTGGTTTCTGGCAAACACCAAAGCCAGCTAACGGTAAACAGTGGCTGTGCATCAAAGCAGGTGTGAGGAGGGCAGGAGAACAGGACCTTTGCCTGTTGGGGTGGGAAGCTGTTCTCTCAAGTCCACCTGAAAAACTGTAGAGTGAGTTATAAGCATTATAGAACTAGTGGGAGAGCACAGTCTAGACTGGGAGAGATAGGAACTGACTCAGACTGTAGACCTTCAACCTTTAAACCTGGTGGAATTGTGTCATGTACTTTTCTTGAGGGGGTTGGGGAATAAATTTTTCTTCCTTTGTTGATATCAGTTCCAGCTGAGGTTAAATGTTGCCCTGCTGAGACATTGTGATAATGCTTTTGTTATGGAACTTCCCACCTTAATGAAACTAAAAAGTTTCAACGTTTTGATACCAACGAGTTTGGACAAAGTTCAGATACCATCCTAATGTTGAATTTTTTTTTTTTTTTTACTTTTCTGTTTTCCCATTTTCGCATTCATATTAACATTAAGGCAATATCCATTCTTTCTTTGAATGAGTCCACATGTACATGTTGATCAGGAGTGTACTTGGGCTCCGCTTGTTGCTAGGAACCTTTCCATGTTGCCACAACAATTTTGCCCCTCTACTCGTCCTGCTTCAGATATGACAGAGAAGGTAGAGCACACCAACTCTTTTCCTGGATACCCTTTCAAGCCATTGGAAGAAGAGACACAGATATGCAAGCAGAGCAGAAAGGCAATTCTAGAGCCAAGGGGTCAGTGCATGTGCTTCACCCTATGGTGATGGGCTCCTGGGTCCTGGGATGTGGTCAGCCTTTTCCCTGTCAGCTTGTTATGAGACCTCCTGAGCCCTGGCCTCTATGGGCTCCGCTGCTAAGGCAGACCCATTCGCACCAAACACTGCTGATGCAGCCTTTTTGGCATGAAAGCTCCAACCTTTGCACAAATCTTCTGAAGAGCAGCTGTTACTCCCTGTACTGAATAACAAATGGGGATGGACTGTGCATATGATCGCATATTCTTTCAGAATTTTTCTGGTCAGTCCTTGATACCTTTCTCCTCCTGACACCAGGGAGGATTCCATGTCCATTCTGGCAGGTGTCCAGTCGCTCATGCATCTTTGCATGTTACTTTCCTTGTGGAGGGAACAGACTCCATCACCATGACTGTCAATCCATACTGATCATCATGGATGTATAGTTTTACAAAGGGAAAACAGTCTTCCATTGGGGATCTGTCCACTGCAGGTTCATCCCAGTCAACGATACCTCAGGGTCATCTCCTTCTACTTTGTCATATGCCAGATTTCACCTCCGGTGTCTACAACTGTGACTGTAAATGGTGCACTTGTGTATCCATTAGCCTCTTACATCATTGCCTTTATCCTAGTGACTTTCTCTGCTAGTAGGTGGACTACTCAAGTGTTTATTGAGAGATGCCCTTTTGCCACCAAAAATCTTCATTCTGGACATGTTCCTCATGGCATGGGGAGTGCACTCTGGCTCAAGGCATGTAGAGTACAGGGATATTGGTGGCTTTGAACTTGCCTTGCCAGAGTGCATGGAAAATTTGCAGTCTACTCTCTGAATGGTCACTCGCATATGGAGTGACGGACAACTGTGATGTAGCATGTAAAGAGGAAAAGAGGAGCTCTCCCTCTTTGGGAGGAGCTTATCTGGGTATGAAAGCCAGAAATATTTTGGGAGATTTGGTGTAAAATCCTGATTGACTCCTTCCTGAAAGACATCCAAACCTGACATAGACCTCTTTGCCACTCAGACCAACAGGAATCTCAAATTTTTGTGAGTTGACACATTTTGCTCAAAGATGGGTCAGTGTTTGGAGTCCCTCTCTAGTGCAATTTTAATACTATGGTTTCAGCTACTACAGGCTTTTGCTCTTGTTCCATATCTTCTGACGGCCCTCATTGCTCTAAGATGGACTTTGCTGATCTTAATTGATCAGAAGCTGGTTTAGTTCCAGGACTTTCTTCAAATATTCTTGTTAGAATTCCACTTCGACCAGGGAATTAGACTCCAGCTTTTCTTTCCCATGCCATACACTCTAAGACTATATACTTCTCATCTCCATAGTTGGGAGTCCTCTCTCCTTTTATCTTTACAGGTCCAAACCTTTTCAACCCTGTTAGAGGCTCTTCATCCCTGGGAAATGCAGTATTCGGTTGTCTCTACACAATAAAAGGCAATGATGGGTTGAATCCTGACTTGCTATCAGATGGCAAAGGTGGAGTCTAATGAGGGCTAGTGTGCATCTGATGAGAGTTTAGGTGGCTTCATCCTCTGCAGTCAGGAAAGTTTTGATTCCAGATACTTGCAATGCAGCTGCCTGGAGATTCATCCTTGCCTTTGCCAGGCATAACACTGTCTCCAGTACTTCAAGAACCAATGCAGCATTTGATAAAGTAGTTGTGCAGTTACTACTTGCATGAAAGATATCAAGACCTCCACCACATAATGAGTCATTGGGGGTAGCTGCTTGGATTCAGTCACTGTTAAGAGTGCACATGGGATTCATTCAAAGAAAAAAAGATGTCTTACCAGTAACCGGTGTTCTTCACAATGTGTAGTCCACATATACATTTGTCTTCCATCTGCTTCTCCTCTCTCCTCAGAGTCCTTCCAGGTATGAGTCCTGTGATTGAGAGGTAGAATTGTTAGAATGTACATTTGGGCTACACTTCTCAAAGAGCATCGGTTACTGGTAAGTAACCTTTCTTTTAGTTTTAGATTGTTCTTAAAGAAGAGCTGAAAGAATCATCACCTTTCTGTATTTGCACTGCTTCTGCTTCTGTCTTGGGGTCAGAACTCATTTACTGCTCTGAATCTCACCCACAGAAATTAGATGAAAAAAGGTCCTAAGATTACATGATCCATTTAAAAAAAAGACTGTTCCCTGGTGTACCTTTTCTTTTTCTGTTTAGTTTTTTAATTATACAATATTCCTCATTGCCAAAGAGGTAATTACTTCTGGCCATGTATATCCACAAGTGGTTTTGTGAACAGTATGCTGATGGGTTAATATGAATCACGTTCTTTTAAACTTTCACACTCTGAAAACCCTGTCATTATCAATTTGCTGAGAGTTACCTTGGAGAACTGTCACAAATAATAACTATATCTGGGCTTGACCAACTGACTGGTAATGCTGCTTGTAACGATTAACTTTCAACATATTTTTGACCTAAATTTTTCATGTTTGGAGTATTATTTGAAAATTCTTTCTGAATGTCACCAAAGTATAATATATGCATCGATGAATCTAGAAAGTATTCCCGTAGGTGTTTGGTAAGCTCTTCATATGTTGTATTACTCAAATTAATAATCAGTGGAAACACTTCTCATACTCTGAGCTTGCTTACTTAGGGCATAACAAAACCAAAATTTAGTAGTGGGTGCAAATATGTAGTAGGTTATTTTACAAAATTATGAGAAAAACAATTACTATCAGGAAAAAAAAGTTAAAATTATGTCTGTCAGTAGGCTTACAATAAAAGCAAAGACTACCTTTGCCCCATAAGACCCCTCAAATATTGACATTTGTTATTTTTTTATATTTAAACAGTATCAATTACATTTTCTTTGCTTTTCTTGTGTTCCATGAAAAATATTCATTAGCTTACTCTTAAAGTATCTAGCCCTTAAGAACTTAACAAATTATGCGAAAGATGTAATCTAGGATTAATAATGAAGGAATTACTCTAAAGTCCTCATTCCAGAATGGTGTAACACACTGACATGTAGCTTCTTTGAGGTTGTGAAGTCATATGGTACAATGATTTAATGTTTAGGGGTGTAATGTCAAAAAGCGTGCTGTTTTTTGTTTAGTTTGTTTTTATTCACCTGAGGAACTTCAAGGGAAATTTCTTCTCCTTTTTCCTCATAAGAAACATTTTCTATGTGAAAATTAAACACTATAAAAATAACATATGTATTTCACGCTTTTCCAAACTGTTACTGCGGATAGTTGTTTTCCTGAAAAATCAGTTGGTGCTTCAGGATTTACCTTAAAAGAAAAATTTTAGTAATAACTTTCAAACTGTTATATTTACCAATGGCATACATGATTTTACTTGTTATTTAACCTAATCAATATGAATATCGATAATCTCTATAGGACTAAGAGATTTCTTTAATTTGGCTATCACATTTTCAGCTCTTTTTGCAAATCAGTTTAAAAGATTGTAAATTGAAGTTATTAGTGATTAAAAAATTGCACAGGAATGAAACTGTTGCTCATGCAAGAAGGCATGCACAGCGGGTGGCTGCCAAGTGTAAGAACTAGTGTAATTATTCTGAAGATTCAGAGATACTGTTTTCTCACAGACTTCATGTCTCGATGCCATTCAGCTGATGCCTGAGGGAATGGGTGCAGGGTCTATGGCTATATTTCTGTTAGCCTTGTTCCCAGTCCTGACTGCTGGGCTAAAGTTGCTCTGAAACAGTCAAACAGCATCTTCCAGTAGGTAAATGGCCTCATGCCAAGGTTATTTATTCACGCTGAGTAAAATGCCATCCGTAGTAAGAATAAGTCATTTTGGTACAGCATAGTTTGCCTTTGAATTGTAAGTTAATTTAATTTGGCCATCTCCTTAATTAACTATCTATGCACCAGTTGAAGTTCCATCTAGTATTGTGAATCTATTTTCCCTTAGATTTATAAAAACAATTACATATCTAATTTTCCAAACTGTCTAGTGAGAAGTTTCAGCATTTAAACATAAAAGAAAAGCTCTCTGTTGAATAGCACAGCCATAAACTTCACAGTTCTTTGTACTGATACCTGATTGCAGTCATGTATTAGATCAGTGGAAGCAGTGCAGATTAATCACTTTTTTCAATTACTGATGAACAGTTTTGTCTTCAGAGGAGGCCAAATCCTTTACTGAGGATGATGTGAGTTAGTTCTTTGAAATCAGCAGGTACGCTGATTTATACCAAGTAGGATCTGGCCTATAGTATGTAGAAAGTAATCAACCTACATCCATGCATAACTACTCTTTGAGATCCTTTGTAGCTGTAGTATACCGTTATTTTGACTGATGAAACTAAAAAAAATTTATATATTTACCTTTCATGGTTAAACTAATATAGCGTAAGTGACAATTACCATGGGCCTTGTTTTGAAAGTGGGTATCATGCAAAATCACTTGGTAATTAAGTTGTTCATGAAAGTCAGAGTGTTTACATGTGCATTCTTAGTACAGATGAAGGAGAAATGTTCCTACAGTACACAGTTTGAAAAGCAGTCTTAAACTAGCAAAAGGAAATTGCAATTAGAAAAAGAGGCTTGAGGTTGAAAAATTTCAAAAAACAGTAATGGTTTTGAGTACCTCCATTCTTTGATCTCTAACTTGAGGTTTTTTCTTTTAAAGACTCCTTAAAATCAGACCTTTTCAGATGTTTAAAAACAGGTATCCAGGCTTATTGGCAAAGAAGAATTAAAAATAAAAAATTCTGGGTTGTGTTTGAACATGGAAATAGAAAACCAGCTTGGAGATCCCCTTGCCACACATCATTTCTGAAGCATGCTTACCAATTTTGCTTCTCCCTTTGATAAACACTTTTCAACTTGAGTGTACTGGAAACATCACCAGTAACCCTCTGCAGACAAAAGTTTCTGTATAGCTTTGAAACTTACATCACAGCTACTGAATCCTAAAGTGTAAAGAAATAAAAGTATCACTTGAAAAGCAAAAGTTCTTTTTCTATACAGAAAAAAAGCTCTGAGTAAAACATCTGGAGAAACACTATTTAAGAATCTTTATGTTAACTATTAAAGCTTAAGTGTGTAACCTTAATTTATAAAGAATGTCACATACTGCACTATTCCACATTGCAGTATTCATTTGATGATAAGACAGGAATGAAAACTAAATTTCAGGTAGTTTAGGCACTCCTTACTTTCTTATGGCATTAACTCTAGGTTTAAACATGCACACACATGTAAAACTGCTCTAATCTATACAGGTATTTAATTGGAGATTATTTTATAGCACACTATGTATATGTATACATTAATGTCAATTTGTTTCATTTTTATAGATAAGTCATTCTTAGTATAAGGTATTCTTATTAAAATCTTTAAAATGCATTACTTGCAGTAAGTACACACTGCTTTCTGAAATAACACAATTTTTAATGGTAATGACTTTGTGGCAAAAATACATCTAAAGTAATTCCATAATGGATACACTTTCAAAGCACTGCATAGAGGAAGTGGTACAAAAGCTTGTGGGGTGCTTATCTCCCAGAAATACGGATAGATATTTAATATGAAGAAGGCTATACAAGTATTGTTGGTTATTTGCTGGTAGAGGGGCAAAGGATTCTCCTGATGATGCCATGCAGGTGGAGTACCTGACAGTGGATTGCCTGTCTTTACCTGAGGTGTGAGTGACCATATCTGTAAGAGCCTTTCTTTCTGCAGAATGGGATTGTCTGAGTCTCTCAGAAAAGGGCTTTTCCTCTGTTCTTTTTGTTAAATCACATTTATCTTTTGTCTTTGTAGACAGTCCTTTGGTCAGTCCATTTCTTCCTGCAATCCTCCACCTCCTTAACCTTCTGTGGGAGAATTTCAGTATGTGGTTAGGACAGCCCTCTCATGTTGGTACAGACCGAAAAGTAAAAATAATATGTGCAGTATTAGTTAGTGGGAAAAACATGAATGAAGTTTCCACAAGTATCTGGTCATCATTTCCCCATTCCCACATTCAGATCACTTACAGGAAATGCGCTTACCTGTATAAGTAAAATGCTGGGGTTTTTACTGTTTCATTTAATTTTGTCATTTAGGTTCACTATGAATAATTATGTTATTTTAATCTTTTTCCTAACATTTCTGCAAAAGTGAATTTTCAATAATCTTAGAGTATTTGTGTTCCAAAATTAAATGTCCAATAGAAGAATTTCTGTTAGCTACACTGAAACCTGCTAGGTCTTTCCTGTAAGGCTCCCTGGGACCAAGATTTTTTCTGTTTTCTGTGTCATAAGCTGTAACTTTGGTTACATTATAGCCAAGGCAAAATATTGGTATCTCCTTAGTTCCTTTAGGGTATGATGTCAGTAGTTTTAGATTCCAAATGTCACTCTTATTGTGGAATGCCCTTAATAAAATATTATATTTTAGTAAAATGTGAGAGAAAATAAAGATATGAAATTACACCAATTTCAGTATGATCAAAATAAACATGCTACATACAAATCTTTAAAAGAAACTATTTGAAAATGAAGGATTCATGTTGTTCCAATATTATCATTTACAGACTGAAGAATTTACCATTCACTTTTACTAAACTTAAAGAACTTGCAGCTTTGTGGCTTTCTGACAACCAGGTAATGACTTTCAATATTCATATTTCTTTAGTAAAGTACTAGGGGTCTTAGCAAGGGCCATAAATGAAACTTGTAATTTAATACATGATTGTAATAGAGCTTTAGAAGTGTTTGCTCCCAGTCCAGCTTTATACTTTCATATTGAGCTATAGATTCTTCTGGCTGTCATTTATTAACTTGGAAAGATCACCTTTGCAGGATTTATTACTTGCATCTAACTAAGCTTCTATATCCTTGCAAAAGTAATAAACAAAGGCCAAAAGTATCAGGAGAATATTTTGTAAATAGAAATTCAAGAGGTTAGACTTTGTTATCAAACTTGTTACTAGTTTGTCCCATCCTTTACTCCATCTGTGCCTCCTTTCTTGTCATCTTCCTTTTCCCTTTTCCTGTCCATGCTTTTATTTCTGCATATTTTTAACTCCATTAAAGTCAGTGGGAGTTTAAACATGTAAAAGGTGCACCAGAACTCATTCTTGTTTTGGAGTTCCTTTTAAATTTAAGTTCCTTTTAAATTTACGTATGCCTTTCTTTGTTCCAAGGGGTTCAGTTTCACTACTATATATTCTTTAGGATTCTGTTTTAAAATAAATTGTGTAACATGAACACTGAGAAATGTAACAGTTCAACCAGCATCTGAGTACTAAAATAAGTCTCAATACTTTCCAGGATTGGTGGATAGAGTAACTTTGGAGTTCCATAATTTAACTCTAAATGGAGAGAAACTCGTTTTGTACAATGTTAGGAATGTGTGACATACCTAACAGTTTTCAATAATCTCAATAAATTCTCATAATCTCATCTTTCTCACTTTGCAATAACGCTTATGGTCAGATATTATACCTCTTTAACTGAAGTTGATGAGGATAATTCTTCAGGGGCCAATTATCGTGCTACTGGAAATTAATACATCCTTTTATCCATATGAAAAAGCCACAGGGACTCAGGTCCTGCAGCTGCCTGTTTGCAGCAGATCGTGTGCGTACGCCTGTGCTGAGCACTGCTGGTTGCAGAACCTCTCAGAGGAGAGCCCGTGCCTGTCCACAGGGAACAGCCCAGCAGACGGGGTCGTTTCTTTGTCAAGATATCAGATGAAATTCCTGCTGACTCTTGCCCAGTGTGTACCATTGAGCCATGCCCTCAAATCATAGCAAAGCCAAAAGCAATGCAGTCAATAGATATACATTGGTACATGCTTATTTCACTGCTCCTTAAATGTACTTTTTACTCTTATAGCTAATCAAAAAATTTTAAAGCTGAAGGGAGGGAAGGCTAAGTGGGAGGGATAATAGAAAATCATAAGTAAATTTTAATGTCTCAAATCAGCATTCTCATTTTTTTCACTGTAATTTCCATTAAAAAAATAACATTGCATGACTCCTCAGCCCAGCCACAGAACATTCACTTCCTTTTTTCAGCATTTTGACTTTTCTATGGTATAGCATAGATGAATTTCTATTCTATGAACTATGACAGTCACTCCTAGATGCTACATTAGAGCAAAGCAATAATAAAAAATAATCAATTGAAGTAAAACACAACAGTAACATCTGAATATTCAGAGTACCTCCATTTAAATTCTTCAGTATCTTGCACCAGGTTTACCCTCAGATGAACTAATAACTATCACGAATTTACTCCTCATTAGCCCTAGCTTAAAACAGATCACAGCCATAATGTGGGTGTTTTAACTGTGTAGTTGCAGCTCTGTTCTGGTGATCTTTTAGCTTCCTCACTGGTGTCACTCTGAACATGCAGTCAGTATTTCTGATATTTAGTGTTCTTCTATTGATCCCAGTAGGAATTACAGGAATTACAGAAGTGAGGAATGGGAGAGGAGGCATTTCCACCAGATTAATACTTGTTTTAGTCCATAGAGAAGTTTATTTTCATACAGAATTTTAGTTAATCTTGTATTTTCTATTTATCAAATGCTAAAATCCCATCTCGGTTAACACACATGCTCTGAGTTAACAGTTCTTTGTTTTGACCTTCCTGTATAGTCCAAGGCTCTCATTCCACTGCAAACTGAGGCTCACCCAGAAACAAAGCAGAGAGTACTGACTAACTACATGTTTCCCCAGCAACCCCGCAGTGATGAAGGTAAAACGCCATCAGCAATTCCTACAAAGGCAGGAATAGCGCTTGTTCAAATAGTGGAGAAAAAAACAGAGGGAGGGAGAGGAAGGGGTTTCAGATGTGGTTCTGTGTGTGAGTGTCTCTTCTGACACATAAAGCCAGTGGTGCACAGATAACAGTCTGTATTTTGTCATACACAAAGGAATCCTGTTTGCAAATCCATTATTCTCAGGCCATCAGATTTACATTTTCTTAAACACTTTTATTTTCAGAAGAATGGCCTTGTATAAACAGTTTGAACCTGGGAGTTGAGCGTGCATGGGAGAGAAATTCTAGGATATGCCTTGCTGCCATGCAGACAGGCTGTTGGCCAGAGCCAGCTCAACCTGCAGACGCTGGACCCTTCTGAGAGAGCTGGGGAGTGGGCCACCTCCTAGACATCCGTGTTCAGAGCTCTGAGCTTGGCAGAATTGAGGGTTTGGCTCCTAACATACCCACGTTAAGTTAGAGAGTTTGCCCCTCAGCTCCAGATCTGCCCTGAAACCCTGTTGCTTCCCATCACTCTCATGTCAGTTTTAATATTAAACTCTATTTGTAATGCTTTGTCAGTTCCTACTCTCATTGCCCCCTCAACAGTTTTAAAACAATAACCCAAGATTACAGAATCAACTATGAACATGTCTTTTTAGATCACTTCCAGTCCTCTGTTGGGTGCACTAATTACTTGTTCTTGTGCATTGCTGTTTGCAATTTAACTGTAGATTTCCAGTCAGACAGTGATAGTTTTAACCCTACGTTATGGGAGGAGCAGAGACAGCAACGTATGACTGTTGCCTTTGAATTTGAAGAAAAAAAGGAAGAGGAGGAAAATGCAGGGAAAGTTAAGGTAAGTTCTATTTGATTTATTCTGGAATTTACATATTATGGACAGGCTCCAATTTACAGATCTTGAGCTGAACTATTTCTGTGTTCTAAATACCCGGAAAATACTCGTCACCATGTTTCAAGTACAGCAGTTGAGGAAGCATAACATACCTGTTCCCTGAAGTACACATTACCAATTTCTGCTTTTGCTATTGTTGTCTAGTCAGCAACTTTGATTTCATAAGTCAGTTCAGGCCCATAACCCTAATGTTGGGTTCCTACTGTGAGAGGTGTTTTGTCATGAAGACAAAATTAACAGAAAATGTTTGGAGACTTAGAATTAATGTCCAACCACTTAGTTCTTTAGAAATATTTACATCACGTAGGGGATTCCATATTCCTCTCAAAGTGGAAGTCGATGAGAGCTTTGCAACTTCATGGATTGACATAGGAATGTGCAGTGGAGAGGGTATCTCTCGTCAGTTTTGTAACCTACCAAAAATGAAGATCAAAACATGAATATCCTCCCCCATTTATCTGAAATTAATACAATTTCAGAGTTTTCAGTTCAGCTTTTAATCAGTTATATTTTTAGAAGGATATTGTCAGGACCATCTGCGTTTACGTGGCATGAAAATTTCTATTTCTTGAATAATATAAAGGAATTATCCCAGATCAAACACATAAATATTGCAAATTTTTCACTGCGGTAGGATACCCAACATAAAATATATTGCCAGAGACAAAAATCATATGAGGAGATTTAAATCATATTTTAATTTTAAAATTAACAATGCTATTATTAATAGCTATTTAACATTCCATTTAGATCTTTTTGGAAATTTTGGATTTTTCTTCTTAATATTTCTCCCAATTAGGAATTTTCATCTAACTCTTGTAACCAGAGGTGATGGACTCTGCTGCTTTAGTAAAACAGAAAATTAAGTCAAAAAGCAACCTTTGCCTCACAATAAATAGATTAAACTGAAATTTTACCCCAGATGAACTGCAGATTTATGGGTCATATATGGAAGACAGAGCATCTGGGAGAGTTTTATTTATTCCACCACTTGTTATCAGAATTTTAACTGTGGGTAATATGGCTGTCCAAATGTGCAAAACAATTAAAATATTAAGAGAGAAATAGATATCAATTTCCAAGATCATAGAATTTAATTTATTCTTATTTGCAAGCATTATTTTAACTATTGAAATGTATTACATGAATTATATCACTTAGATAGCCATTTTGTTTTTAATATATTTAGAACACTATGAATGACTGAAACAAATATTTCCTTTGAGTAAACTGTTCATCCACTGAATGCTGTACCTGTACTTCAGTTCAAATGCTGCCATCTGCTGTTTGGAAAATGAGGAGGCAAACACAGCCAAGACACAGTACCACATTTTCAGGTTTCCTAGAAACAGCACTTAACAAAAACAGCTGGCCTGTGCCCATGCTGTGAGCAGATGTCTCTGCGTGGTGTGATCCCAGGCCCAGGCACGCAGTACCAGAGCTGTTCAGGATGCAATGGATGCTCTTGTTGCAGTGCTTCTTACCTGGGCTGTTTGCTCATCCCTGGCAGCTGCTGCCAAAGTCGTGGTCTGTGGAGCAGAGTTTGCGTTCCCAGAGGGGTACATTGGTCAGCTGCAGTCTCACCCCGGTTGCAGCAGAACACAAGAAGGGCAGCCTGTGGCCCGTCGTGCTGCCAGCGGAAGGAGTGGTTTGTATCATGTGGGTGATCCGTGTCCCACAAGGCTGCACCTCTCAGTAACGTTTTGACTTGGCCGTCCAAAGGTCAAGACAGTCTTTACCATTTGTGTCACTGCTCCTTAGTTGTGGAAGAGTCCAACACTAAAATATATTTCCTGGAATTCTTTCTTACCTGTTTTCCCTCTCATCCATAGAGAGTGGGTATAAACCAGTGTTGTAGTACGTGAGTCTGTTTCTGCATGATTCCTCTATTCCCATATACAGTCCAATGTTCCTCTCCTCCATAATGATCCTAACGTTTTCTCATCAGATCAAAACACTAAATTTTGCAGCTGATGCTATTGTTATTGCTTATATAGAGAAGAATTATTAAATGAAAAGCTAAGCAGGGAGCTAGGAGCTGATCAGATATTTCCTCCTATCTGTGTACTTTGAAGAGAGCATCTCTCCTCTCTGGTATCTCACTGTGTGTACACCAGATACTCATAAATACCTGTAGTTTGTGACAACTGAAAGTAGAGAAATAATACTGTTCAAACCTGGAAAGTCTTGCCAGGCTGTGAAAGGAAAAGATTTCCCACTGAAGGTGTGTGTGGGTTTTTTCCCTATCATGGAAAACAGCGTTTTTGCCCAAGCCATGAAAAAAAATTAACTCAAATTCAATTACTATTAATAAGATAGAAATGCTTATTTGCATCCTTCTGGTATGTCTGTGCTCTTTCCCAGTAATGCAAATTCATCTCTATATATGAATGACCATAAAAGTGTTGTAAAGTGTTATTCGACTGAACTGTTCACCAGCCTGTGTTTAGATGCATGCACATGAACTGAAAGCTAATTGCTGGAACCTTTTGAGAACTTAGTGTGTGTTACTCCATCCATGTGTTGCAATAGGTCTTAGGGAGGTTTTAACGTATTTGTTTGTAGCACCAGACCTTCATGGGATGAATTTGAAGGTTAACTTAAATTATCAATAAGCAGTAACTGCAAACATTGGTAGCGTTTTATAAAAGCATACGCTTTTTATCTTTCGTGGTTAAAACTGAACTCGCAGCCAACTATATGTTAAAATAGATGTGGTAATTGAAATTGTTCAATAACTTCTTCCATCAAGAATTTTGAACTTCAAAAATTCTCTTTTCAGGTTCATCCTACTTTTGATGTAGTATTAAACATACAAGAATTGTATTGACAGGGAGCACAGATTTCCTCTGTAATGATATGTGTAAATCAGTGATGAAAATATCTGCATTTTAGTGGATATCACCTACCACAGCTGCCAGTATTTTTACTGTTTAATATTAATACTCACAGTGATATGAAACTCTTGCTGAAATCCCTGTCTATGACTTCTTTCTCTCATGAAAGCCTTTCAGTTAATTTTGCCTTGACTAGTACTTATTGAGGATTTGCTCTATGACTTGATTTTTAGCTATGTTATTCTGTAGACCTTACACTTAAATCGTGGACTGAATTTTGTGAAAAAGCAATTGCCTAATTAGGCCACATCTAAATATGATTTCTTTCAACCGTAAATCAACCAGAGCTTAAGTAATGCTTTACAGACTTAATTTATTTTTTCTGTTGAAATTCTTTATTAACATATGACATCATAGTCATACATTTTAATGTTTTATGTTAAAGTCATGTCAGAATCTATTATCTGTAACGTTTATTCTATTGTGGTTCAGAATTGTATGCTAGTATTTCATATAGTTTTATTTTCCAAATCGATCATGCTTTTGCTTCTAAAATATTCCTATCAACAGACCATATTCATTTGAATCCAAAATTGTGTTTTTCCTACTCGTTAGGAATTTAAAATCCAACAGCTGTAATAGAGAGCTGTTAAAAGTAAGCTCTCTTTGCTTACCTCATGTACACAACGAGGTAAAAGCTTCTTTGTGGTAAATGTCTCCAAATACTTACCACATAGTAAATGTGGAGTAATTTCAAATTTTGCAGCCTCATAATCAGGAACAGTTATCCTGACACACACAGCTTGCTCTGGGAGCTGTAATTTTACTCCATTGAAGGATTTTATTGCATTTCCACCCCAAATTCAGGCCCAAAGAGGGTGGCAGGCTCAGCCAGCACCTTCTGCATTTCAGCTGACTATGTTTGGTGGCTGTTACGTGCACTCAGCAGTGGGCTTGCCACTCCACAGGCTGTGCTCTCTGGTTCACCTTATGAATATCAAATTTGGTGCTTAAGCCACAAACATCTTTCACAGCTTGGAAAAAGCCAGTGGAGACAGGGCAGGTTTGCAGCGTGAAGGACAGAGCAGGGAGGGCAGGAGATGCTCTGTGGAGGAGAGGGCCCTCTGCTGAGAGGGAAGGATCTGCTGCAGGCTTGGCTCAAGGGACAGACATACAAGCTGCCCACACTCTCCACACAGCCCAAGCAGCCTGGCTGAGGTCATGCTTTGTTTGGATGCACACTTCAGCTTCCTCAGCATCTCTTCTCATGATCTGGTGTGATGGTCATCAGACAAAATATGTCTGTAACACAGTGGGGGAGGTATAAGGAGAGGTCAGCATCATGCGTGTCGTCTTTCCTGCTTGGATCATTCCTGACGTGGTCATTTGCTGCACTGTCTCCTCAGAGCAATTTGCTGATAGTGTAATGTCTTCCCAGATGACGGGGGGTGATGTCATCCATGAGCCTTCTCAGCCACTCTCAACCCTGAGATTTTGTAGAATTGTCTTCAAATTAGGATTGCTTTGGACTTGGGAAATACAACGTTTCTCTACTTCTGAGTGATAAAAATTATAAACTTAAAATGTGGAATTTTCTAGAAAATCTGTAGGTCCATCAGTCAGTTAAAGTACTGTTCAGTGTGACTTAGGGTGACTTTTCTGTAGTGGTTTGAGTCTGTTTTCCTGTATTTTCTGTATAAGAAAAGAGTAAGATACGCTTGAGTACATGTACGTACATTATACATCTCAAAGAGCAAATAGCTCCCAGTAGATCAGATTCTGTTCTCAGCTGACATAGATAATTCAGATTAATTCAGTACACTGAACATAGCTAAATTAATTCTGCATTTACACCAGTATTGTTTTGAAAAAGTGTGATTTAATATGTCAGTACTCTCAAGCAAAGTGTAGAATTAGAATACAGTACTCTCACAGGGTAAAAGATAGGCTTATAGGGAACCATTCCCATCCATTATTTTATGTCACTGAAATTCCATTATAGGTTGACATAGTGTAACTGAGAGCAAATTTCAGTCCAAAAATCCATGAAGATAGCTGTATGTAACACATTACCTCAAATAGATTAATTAAAAATTTGAGGAATTTGCACTTAGCCATAGTACTGTAACCATGGTTTTAGTTTGCATGCTGTTTTCATTTTGTATTTGTGCTTTAATTCTTTTTATGAATGTTCAGGTTGAAATAAATCTAAAACGTTACCCCACTCCATACCCGGAGGATTTAAAGAATATGGTAAAATCAGTTCAAAATCTGGTGGGCAAAACAAGCCATGGAGTACGGCCTGAGAACTCAACACCAACTGCGAACAGTGAACAAACTGTGAAAGAAAAGTATGAGCACAAGTGGCCCATGGCACCAAAGGAGATTTCAGTGGAGGTAATGTAAAAGGATCATTGTTCCTCTCAAGAGTTCGAGATGGGGTTTTAACATAACTCCGTCAAATGATATTCTGCATCTGCTGTGAACTCATACCTAATAGTTTCTAGTTTCATTCTGTAAAGTTAATTTAGTTTTATATTGAGTTGCTGTTTTTTCCAATACTACTGAGTTTATCAGACTGAATTTTTGGTTTTAAATCTACCTAGATCTGAATGTTGATACTAATATATACAAGCACTCTCCTAAATTTTAATGATATGAGAAACTTGCATATTAGCAGGAGAATGGACCTGATCACGATTTACATCTCAGACTTATGTGAGTGTATTTCTGCATCAAATATGTTAATGACAAATCAGTTTGTTCTGTCTGACCCTACTATGCCATTAGGTTCTGCTTCTTCTATTCACATTACATGTAGTAGATATAGCCAATTAACCTTGTCAAAAGTTAATGAAGTCAGCAGGAGTGCTTCTTCGACTGCAGGGAACTTTAGATCAGGCACCCCCTGAATAGCGACTTACAATGAGCTGCAGAATCTAGCCCTGAATATGTTTGCCAGAAGTGGATCAGTATGCATAGTGACAAAGTCTTCTATTCTAACATGAATACAGTCACTGAAAGGTAAATTGCTAAATACTGCAGTCTTGTGCAAAGCTGTTACGAATAGCTGAAGCTTGATCTCAGAGGGCATCTACTCATTAACATTCACACTAATGACTGACTTTGTGCAGGCACAATTTATAAATAAAGGAAATCTCTTACCCTGGCTGTATGTACTGATAGTTTATAGGCTTGGACAGGTCTACAAGAATACCAGCATTCTTGAAAATCTTTACGAAGTCTTAATGTTCAAAAGAAATAAATGACAAAAAAAAAAATCACATTATCTTTTCACTTCTTTGTTATTTAAACATTATGATAAATTCATTGTCCTTGAAATATCCCCGTCTCTGACTAGTTGTGTATGCATGAATTTTTCTTCCTCAGTTTTCCATATCCTTAACACAGATTGGCTGTTCTTACATATTCAACAGTCACTGTCGCTGCTCTGTCAGTACTGTGTGTTTAATTTAAACATTTTCATTCCTTAAAAAAAAGACCCAGAAGTTTTCTCCGAAGATAGCTTCAGAAAACTTTCTTCAAATCTAGTCAGTTTCGATTAGTACTTCAAACTAGAATATTTAACTTAAATAATTCAATTTTTTTATCTAACTCTGAAATTCCACCATGATTCCTTTTTACTCATTAAATTCTTTCTTACTGTGTAAATCTGGCCTTTGAACCAACTTATGTCTTGTGGTATGAGTATTGACATGTTCTACAGTTGTTGCTGAATACATACAATTTATTTTGTATCATCTGGCTTTTGAACGTGAATATTCTTAATAGCTTTCTGCGGGTTTTAATTATCTCTATTTATCCCTATCTGGAATTTGAATCAAGGTTTCTGACAAAGACATTAGGTGTTTGGTCTTGTGGCTGTGTCTCGTGACGCAGGCTTCAGAAATAGGTGGCTGTACTGGTTTAGTTGCTAAATTGTTAAAATGTTAATTTGTCAAACTAAAATGTTAACATCCCAGTTAACTGCACCACAGCAGAGAGTCCCGTGAGTGTGCAGAGCCCAATGAAGCTTCCATTATGGAGGTGTAAGGAAAGAGTAAATGGCAGCAACACTGTAAAATACTACAAGTTACTCTGAAATGCTATGTTCTAACACAGAAAAAGATTAAGGCAAATTTCATTCTTACATTTCATTCTTTGGTAAAAATGCATTCACTTTTGCAACAGAAAAATAATCATATCTAGTTTTTCTGTGAATGTACATGAACTGTTAATTGCATGAGTATTACAAAAAGCAGTCTATAAAAATAGTTGAATTGCTGAAGAACCTGTGGTAATTCCTGAAGTGCAATTAAATAATGTGATTGCAATTTCCTAGTTAATTTTCTACCACAAGCAACTGATGTGAGTGCATGGCTATTGCCATCATATCAGTGAAGATGTATTTTTCATCTTCTATTATTATAACAGTGAAGATGGTGGAACTTTTTCAGATTTTAGTTTCCCTAGTACTTAGTCAAGACTAGTAACAACTATCTTGTCAACTAAAGAAAAGAAAAAAGTATTCTTGTCATTCATACAAATAGTGGCGTTGGGAAGATTTTATGGCTGTAAAGCAGGATGATGTATACATTTTACTCTCTTTGGCTTCCTGCACGAAGATAAAGAGGCATGGGAAACTGTAGAAAAAGTGTGAACGATTTTGTGAATAATATTAGCATGGTTTCAGTTGTAACACATGAAATAAAACATAATTAAGCTCCATTTGCTTTTCAGATAATTAGGAGACATGATCTCAAGCCTCAAGTTAAAATACAGTTTGAAAATGCAGGTGTTTTCTGATATAGATTTAGACTGAAGACAGTTTCTAGTAACATGGTAATTTAATTTCAGGTGCAATACTCGCTTTTTCATCCTCAGAGGCCAGATAAGCTGGTTTCTTTTCTGATCTCTTTTGGCTTTTCTTGCAATTAATTTACACGTGTCTCTTCACAAAACTGTTTCTAAATAATTAAAGGGAGCATCTGAAATGAGTAACAAGCTACATTTCAAGTCCCATGTATCATCCTCCACCTTCATTTATAATAAGCAAACAATTTCTTAATTAATCATCAATTAAAATAAACCTCTTCGTTGTCCTAAGTCATTTTGAAAGATGTGCATTTTGGACAAAAAGAAGTCTGTGATAACTTAGTGCATTGTGTAGCCTTTCCATGAGAAACAATGAGAAATTACACAAATCAGCAATTAAGGTCTTTATAGTTAATATTCTTGATATGTATGGACTGACAAATAAACTGTAAATACTTCTATATAACTCTCAGCTTTGGATTAAAAAAAAGTCTTTTCTAGTTCAACCTACAGCATTTCATCCTTTGTGTTAATTCCTAGCAGGTTTATTAATACTGTGTAAAAAGGAGAGATAGTTATTCTTTGAGTGATCTGATGCAGATGCTAGTGCTAATAGCTAGAAAAATACTGCCTCAGCTGTACTGGATCTTCTGAGACCTTCATCTCATCTCATCTCATCTCATCTCATCTCATCTCATCTCATCTCATCTCAGTCAACATAAGACCTGAATCCTTTTAACTTCTGACTTTGTTACTGTGTGGGTTTGGGTTGTGGGGTTTTTTGGGGTGGGTGGGGGTGGAGAAGAGTGTTCTTTTTGCTTTGGTTTTAGGGAAGGTTTCAGAGACTGTCTTAAAAGATCATTGGGCCTTTCCAGGAAGACTTACACACTTTTATTTCCCCCAGGATGCCTGCCTTCTATTGATTCAGTTGAAGTGTCTATTGCAGGAGCTGTTTTCATCTAATAAGATGCACAGTGACAGTCTCTCCTGTTTGGGAGAGGAATATATGCTAAAGATTTTTGGTTTATATCTGCTTTAAGCCCATACCTTGATAAGCTCTTTGCAACAGAATTACCTATATTTTACCAGGAGTCAGAAATATGTTCATTATAGAGTTTTTGGTTTCTCCATGGTACAAAAGATCTTTACTGAGGTTATGACCTTGGTGCCTTCTTGTCAAAGGGGAAAGGAGGTAATGATTTACTCATCTGGAGGTCTGACTCACAAAAGACCTTTCTTCAGATAGGATGTCAAATGTCTTAAAGTTCATTTTTAGTTACTTTGACTTCTGTTTGACCTTATCTAAGTGTCTGGATTGGAGGGGCATTATTCAGGGCTGCCTCCAAGATAAAGCCTACCTTCCATAAAATTGGTCCAAGACATCACTTGACCCCCTGAGGCCACTGCTCTGTCTGTCCCCACCTGGATGAGTACTCAAGAGGTGCAGTATTACGTGTCTGGATGTGGCACTCTGTACAAACTTGTATACCCAGGGCATGTAGGCCTGGTTTATGTTTGATGGACCATGAAGTAGCTTTTTTGCAAAAGGCCTGAGACTCTCTCTATTGGCAGCAACCTCGGTGAGATATATGCAATTGGATGCACTTCCATTAGATAAAGAGCTACAGAAGCTTGTTTCCTCCAGAGATAGGAGAGCATGGAGAGTGCATTTCACATATCAGGGTGTTGTAACTCAGGGCAGTACTGAGACTTCTGTCCTCACACTGAAGGCCACATACAGAGCAGGACAAGAGCCTCTCCATGATTTATAACTGAGGATGATGTTAGAAGGTCTCCCATCCTCTGCAGTACATGACTGATGACTGGTTGAATAAGCATCTGCAATTTATCTTTGCAGAATCCTGACCATGCCAGCTAGTAGGCTTAGCCATATGAGATTAAACTACTGGAAGTGGAAATTTTCATTCTAAAATACATCTTTGTAGACTGGGGATCTCTGTCTGTGATTTCTTTGGTGATAGGCAGTTCTGGTCCAGTTCTTGGATGCATCCCCTTGGCTGTATTTCTAATCACCTGAATAGGCAAGGTTAATATGTGCGTTCCTCCAACTGCTTGCCCGTCCACCGGACTGCAAGGCAAAGAGACACATGGCAGAAACAATCATTATGCCCTACCTGCAGATAACAACTTTTTTCCAGGATCTACTATGTCTTTCCATGTGGAGTCCCAAAAACTACCTCTGTCCCAGTCTGTTCCTCATATACTTATGTCTCCTTTTAAAGCTCTATCATATGTCTGAGATTGCCTGCTGGAGTTGAAAAGGTGAGAATTCATTGCATCAGTGCTGTAACATTGTTCTGGCTGCTGTATCACCTCTGCAGGTAGGAAGTGTGTTGGAATTCCTTCGTTCTCCCACTTTCAGATTCCATATCCACATTCACAAGTTTTCCTTCCACCAATTCAGTTATATCTGGTATTAACATCCTGTTTGAGACAACCTTCGGATCGAATGGCTACTGAAACTGGCCTTTCTGGCAGCTGCCACTGCAGCCAGAAGAGTGGGAGAGATTTAGGAGCAGGTGGAAGATCCTCCACCCTGCTTTCTTCTGGGATAATCCCGTATTTTTGAGGTGACTCTCAGTGCACTCTTGGATTCCTGGATCAGTCTGATAATTGCTAGCTTAGACAGCAAAATGTCCAGAACTGTGACTGCCTTTCACATGCTGAGCTTCAGATAGAATTCGTTTTGTGATTTTGTCAGGAGAAGACCATTTAGTGGGACTTTGAAACTATTGACATAAAGGGCTGAGCGGTGGAAGTACTGCCATTTTTCTGTGCAGAGACCCTAATGTGGGTAAGTGGCTCAGTGAGGCTTTGTTACGAAACCGCAGCACTAACTGTGATGCTCAGGAAAGATGCCTATGCCTCAGTTAGTCTTGTTTGTATCTCGGGATATCCTGACAGCTATTTGGTTGCATTTGTTCCTACACTTTCTGTGATCTTCTTTATTCTTTCATTAAAGTTTTAGTAAAATCTGGACCAAGTAACATTTGCCTTAATCCGTTTATTTCTTTGCTTCTCCATTTCTTTATAGCCAGCTTGTCATTCTTCAGATTGACCTAGCCTTCTCCAGTTTAGAAGTGCTGCCAACCCTCTACGTATATTTAATTGTTCCTTTGGAATAAATCCATCATTAATGGTTCTGCATTCCTCTGCCTCGTGCGTGTGGCATCTGCCCAGAGCCCCAGTCTGGTCTATTCGGAGGCATTATATTCTTTGCAAGCAGACTCTAACAGTTAGGTTGTTTTAAAAATTCCATCTCTCCAGATGATAATGTAATGTTCTTATGTTGTCAGCATGAATAATTGGTGATATTTCTCTTTCTCAGTTATTTTAATGTTTTTTACCATGCACTTTCTCTTGGGAAACAGCTCACCATGTTTTTCTGTCCTCTACCTATATCTTTGGTTAGTCCTGAGGAATAAGTTCCAACACAACACAATTGCATTTACCTCTTCCCTTTGTTCTTGCAATTGGTCCTATTATAATAATACTTTTTTTTCCTATTAGTGACCTTTTTGTTCTTGGGCTTGTAAGAAAAAAGGTCCTCTTAAACAGAGTAGATTTAAAGGGAATATGATTTTGGTTTTTTTAGAACATATTTCACTTTCATGACATATTCACAAGTGCCAGACTAGTTCTCTCAAAAGTGTATTGACTTTTGTTGGAATAGCTGGACTAGGGGCTAAAAAGAAAAAAAAAAAAAAAAAAAAAAAAAAAAAAAAAAAAAAAAAAAAAAAAAAAAAAAAAAAAAAAGAATATAACCTAGAAAACTTCATAAAATCATGCACCTGAAATAAAAACCTGTGTTCATCATTATGTCGAAAATAGAATGGCTGGTTCTTCCTATCTTACAGCAAGTAGTTTTATTTGAAGCTTATAACTTTCGGAGTTTTCATGGCACAATACTGGGATTCTAGGTTGAAGATAGAGAAAGTAAAGAATTCCAAAAGAGTCACCTGTCTGATACAGACAACACTCGTAAGTCGACTCTGGAAATCCCAGACAGGAAGGAGAAAGAAGAGCATACAAAAAGCTCAGAGGTACAACAAGAAACTTAACATGCACCATGCTTCAAAGGTGGAGAATTTCACACTCTGCGAATGCTATGCACTTTTTTATTTCTCAAAAAATGGTTTGTTACACTGCACTAGAAAGTGATTGTGCTGCACTGGAAAAATGCTGTTGCATTATTGTTAGCTTTAAGTTGTACGTACCTCACTACTGTTATATAAGAAATACCATACACAACAAGGGATCTCTGCATGTGAAAGTAGTTTAAAGTCTTGAATATATTACACCATGTAAGAATCAGTATGTAGCTACATTTGCTCAAATGTTAGCACTGAGGGGGTTAATTAAATGGGCTGTGAAGATACCAGTTCTCTGCTGTTTTGGTATGGTACTACTTCCAGTGGAACACCAAATGCAGAAGGATTAAAATATCTGTTGTGTAAACATAATTATATTCTTCAAGGATAAAACACATGGCAAATGCTTCTACAAATCTCTGTTTCCACTGTTGCTACAAAAAGTAGTTAAAGGAGAGTAAAACTCTGAAAGTTTTCTCCTTATGAGTAAAAGCAAGTAAATTTTAAAAATATTGTAGCATTTTACATTTTAATAATGTGGTTTTGGTTTTGGTACTCCATTTTAAATTGTTTCTCTAAATATTAGATCTCTTTCCTTTATTGACTTCACTCTGCAAAATCACTGGAGTACCTTTAACAAAATGTCAGGGTACAGAGATCCTCATAGTGTCTCCATTAGTGTAAGTTCCCTCCTAAATATATTTCTCCTAACCATTCCCTTCCTCATTTATACTACTAATTATTGATTTTCTCCTAGTATCTCTCTAAAACTTCCTCTTTTTTACTAGGTACTCTCCTTCTCCAACTTCCATCCTCTTTACAAAATCATAGATCATCCTCTCACTTCTGAGATGATGCATGTTTCTCGTACCCCTCCCCACAAGGATCTTGATTGGCATTGGCATGACTTTCCAGTGTTGGAAAAGCCATGCCCATCTCCATCATGTCGCTTTCCATTACATTTCCCTGAGCCCATGCACCAACACCCACAAAGTGGGTTTCCCATATTGCTCATTCTTCTGACTCCCTTTCCTTAAGTCCCCTCCTGAGGGCAGGGTTACCAGTATCATTCCTCCAGTAAGTGTCATCACCTACCCTGTTTCCCCAAGACACCTGTCTTCAGGTCAGCGTCTTTCTCATTTCTGAACTTTCTTCCAGGGATAAGAAATGCCACAGATTCCCTGTTTGTGTCTTCATTCCCTTCTAGCTATCCTTTGAGCCTAATTTAAATGTCCTAATTTAAAATATCTCTTTCTAAGACTACATCTCACTTTCCAGTTTTTTTTTTTAACTCATGTTATTTTCAGTATAGATCCTGTTGCTGGCTAGAACAGCAAAACAGTTGTGCAGGGCAGTCTTTGAAGGTCAAGATTTGCTGAACTCTCAATGAGAAGTTTATGAAATCTGAATAATTTTCATTTAGCAAAAAACTCCTTAGAGACAAAGTTATTTTAATTAAATATAGCTATAGGGACAGTTGAATTTATGGAAGGACTTGTGCCACGAATAAATGAATGAGGAATACTTACTCCTGAAATAAGAAGTAATTGTTTATTCTAGATTTTTATTTATTTCTACTGGCAGCTTGCATTTTTGTGACCTTTACTTCATCAAAAATGTTTACATGGCCTTGATGTATCTTGCAAGTTCCATCTGTTTTGTCCACATTTTCAGAATGAACACATCACCATAATTTTTACAAGTATTTATGTAGGACTAATTAGAATTTTCAGCTGACAAATCAGCATGATTAGACACTACCCGTATGGTGGGGTTTTGGTGTGTTGTCACATTCATGAAAAGAAGGCTGTGAAATGTTTGTTCGTTGCAGTTCGAAGTGGGTTCTGTTTCCTGTGTTTACTGTACATTATTCTATTCCTCAGGATGCCTTTGGACATCCTGCCAGTGAGATGAGGATAGGGGAACTTCGTCCTTCCATGCCAGAGACTCCGTTGTACCCACCCAAACTTGTTCTTCTGGGTAAAGACAAGAAAGGTACTAACTTGACTTAAAACCTTTTAGATGAAAGCGTATGTAACGTATACAGATAGGCACATTACTTAAGATGTTGTACACTTCACTCTGATTTTAAAACATATTACATACATATTTGTGCACATGTATATGTATCTCCATAGTATCGATTAAAAAATATATTTTTCTGGAGTTTAGTTTTTAAATGCCACCTCCTGAAAAGGTTTGCTGTGTTTTGTTTCAGAATCGACAGATGAGTCTGAAGCAGATAAGATCCATTGTCTGAATAACAGCGTTTCCTCAGGCACTTACTCAGACTATTCCCCTTCCCAGGCTTCCTCAGGGTCCTCCAACGCGCATGTAAAAATGGGGTCCTTGCAGACAACGGCTAAAGAAGCAGTGAATAACTCTTTGTGGGGGAACAGGTGTGATCATCTTTCTTAACACAGCTTCTGGTTGCCTTCCGTCTTACGTTCTCATATGCATTCAAAGTGATCGTATGCTATCTCTTAAGCCATTCAATTAAAAAAATACAATGTTTTTACCCCAGTTTTGCAGAGGTGTACATAGCTATTCAAAGCCCAGGCTCTGCAGAGTTGGCCACCCATTCATGCTCTATAAATGTCAGTAATTCTACAGCTGGTTTTTCAACTATGTGCTATAACCATGCATTAAAAGCGCCTAGTAATTGAGCTGCAATTATTCTGCTCTGTGTGGTCCTGAGCTGCAGCTGGCTGTAGTTTAGCATAGATAGCAGAGTGTATGTCTCATATTATTGCTGTCCTGAGCCTCACTCTGCCCTGGACCTCCAAGAACAACACAGTTCTTTGAAAGCTGTAATTTGCACTGGCCATCAGCAACCTCAAAACACTCTCATACCATACCAGGAACACCCTGCTGTGTCTATTCCTGCCATAAATCACCTAATGTAGTTCCATCCTAAATATAGTACCATCCACAGGCTCTTCCCCATTAAAGAGCGGCTGGAGCCTGCTCACTGGAGATGCATAAAATCTTGGTGGTGAGAATATGCACAAACTGAATCTGGTATTTTTGTTTAAAAAAAGAATAATGTAAATGTAAAAAATCTTCCCCTGCACTCATAGAAGATTATTTTTAAAGCAGGAAAATATGTTCAGCTGGATTTATATGAACATGGCATTGAGCCACCCAGGACTTTTGACTGACTTCTTAGTTTCTCTGTGTATGCACTTACAGAATCTCTACTCCAGTGCAAAAAACTGCTGCAGCCATTCATGCCAAAACAGTGGCACAAGCTGCACATCTCATAGTATGATCCTAAAGCCAGAGTATAGATGGGAGAATATTAAATTACTTTATAATTGCATCTTTCTGATGACTGCTTACGTGCTCTAGTAGAGGGCATTTTATCTTCTTTCATTTTGTTTTGGTTTTGCAGGCTGGCACAGTCATTTCCACAGCCCCTTGAAACAAAGCCATTGCTGAGCCAGCGGGAATCCGCTGCGGCGGGGGACCTGCCACAGCGCACCGACAGGCGCCCCCCGAGCGGCACCTTCGCTGACAGCTGGAACGACAGCTCGCACTATGATAACACAGGGTTCGTTGCAGAGGAGGGCACGGTGGAGAATCCTAGTGCTAACCCCCTCCTGAGCACGAAATCCAGAAGCACATCTGCACATGGACGCAGGCCGTTGACCCCCCCTGAGAAACAAACCCTTGGCTGAGCCGGGGGAAATCCGCGGCGGCGGGGCCCCTGCCACAGCGCACCGACAGGCGCCCACTGAGCGACACCTTCGCTGACAGCTGGAACGACAGCTCGCACTATGATAACACAGGGTTCGTTGCAGAGGAGGGCACGGTGGAGAATCCTAGTGCTAACCCCCTCCTGAGCACGAAATCCAGAAGCACATCTGCACATGGACGCAGGCCGTTGATTAGACAAGACAGGATAGTTGGCATTCCCCTGGAGCTGGAGCAGCCGACGCTCAGAAACACACACGAATCTGAAGTGCCTCCTCCCAATCCTTGGCAAAATTGGACCAGAACCCCTAGTCCTTTTGAAGACAGGACAGCTTTTCCTTCCAAACTGGAAAGCACCCCCACCACCAGCCCTTTGCCTGAGCGGAAAAATCATGTCAAAGAGTCTCCTGAAATGACTAGCACTTTCACTCCAGGAATAGCATGGGAATATCACGATTCAAATGCTAACAGAAGCCTCACAAATGTCTTTTCCCATATCCACTGTCGCCCAGATCCTTCCAAAAGCGTTATTTCAATCAGCAAGAGTACAGAACGGCTTTCTCCAATGATGAGGGATTTAAAAACTAACAAATTTAAGAAGTCACAAAGTATCGATGAGATAGACATTGGTACATACAAAGTGTATAATATACCCTTAGAAAACTATGCATCTGGTAATGATACTGTAGGAACCCATGAGAGGGTGGACAAGCTCCTGGGCCCGGAGCACGGCATGCTGAGCATGTCCCGCAGCCAGTCGGTCCCCATGCTGGACGATGAGCTGCTGACCTACGGCAGCGTCAAGGTGCAGCCGCAGCAGAAGTCGTCCGTCACGAAGAAGGTCTACCAGTTCGACCAAAGCTTCAACCCGCAGGGAGCAGTGGAGGTCACAGCAGAGAAGAGGCTACCACCGCCTTTCCAGCTCAACCCCGAGTACATTCCCCAGCAGAGTAAAAACCTGCCCCAGGATCTGGTCAGCCCAAGGGCCTACCGCGGCTACCCCCCCGTGGAGCACATGTTCTCCTTCTCCCAGCCTTCGGTGAACGAGGAGGCGGTCAGTGCCCCCTTTGCGAGCCAGGGGTCTCGTCCGGGGTTCTTGAGGAGGGCGGATTCGTTGGCCAGCTCCACCGAGATGTCCATGTTCAGGAGAGTCAGTGAACCCCATGAGCTGCCCCCAAGCGATAGGTATGGCAGGCCTCCGTACCGAGGAGCTGTGGAGCGCCAAGGCAGTATCTCGGTCTCTGAGTCTCAGTTCCTCAAGAGGAACGGCAGGTATGAAGACGAGCATCCTTCCTACCAAGAAGTGAAAGCCCATACTGGAAGCTTTCCAGTTAAAAACCTTACACAAAGGAGGCCATTGTCTGCAAGAAGCTACAGTACAGAGAGTTATGGCACATCCCAAACCAGGCCGGTTTCAGCGAGGCCTACAATGGCAGCTCTGCTGGAAAAGATACCGTCAGACTATAACTTGGGTAACTATGGCGACAAGCCTTCCGATAACAGTGATATAAAGACAAGGCCTACCCCTGTGAAGGGAAATGAGAGCTGTGCTAAAATGCCCGCTGACTGGAGACAACAGCTACTTAGACATATAGAAGCTAGAAGGTTAGACAGGGTATGTTTGGCATTTCTCTGCAATTAATGCCTTTAGTTGTGTGTTTCGGTATTTCAAACTATTTGCACGTACAGTGGTAACCACCAGAATTCCCAGTAATGAAATTCTTGCATTGGTGTCAGAGGAACCGGCCCGCAAAGGGGCTTGGGGGTGCTCCAAAGCAGCTGGAGTGAGGGGTAAATGAGTGATAAAGAGTCTCTGCACAAGTAACGCACCATGGTGCACGTTACTAATGTAAAAACTGCTGCAGCACTGTCTGAAATAACAAAAAAACACAAAAATCTCTCCTTATCAACAGATGTGAACGTGCTGCTGAAGTCCACCACTTCAGTAATGATTTGAGAGCTTTAAAAGATGCTGGATACATCTTTGCAGTAAAAGGGAATAAAGGAAAACATCACAGACAAAAAGTAAAATAATGTATTTTAGCTTTCATATCACTGTTAGTGGAGGGGATTTAAAGGTAACTCTTAACTCTGAAAAATATCACTGGATATACACTGCCACTGTTTTTAACAAGGAATATGATTATTACTCTTTTAGCGGTAGGAAGTTATGCTTATTTACCTTCTATACAAAACAGTACTATAGTGCATGATTTTGATAATGATCTTGACTATTTAATGACCTACTTCATGAATCGGATTTACTTCATAATCTGAAGTGGTTGTGAAAAATTACTGTCATCAAATGCATAAGTTAGTTGCAAAATATGTCCATATACCTATTTTACGCTAGATACTCATGAGTTTGGTGTTAATATATTCATTACCTTCCAGTTGCTTGGATGTGATGCATATTAAAATATCATTAAGGATCAAATGGGTAAACTTTAAAAACTGGCTTGAAGGCTGAAGCCTTTTCCTTACTTCAGCTATTTTCCTTGTGTTGTGTAAAGCTGATTGGAAAATACATAATACCTAGGCAAAACAGTGCACCCCAAGTAGAGACCTTTCTGGTGGAAATAAACACTTCCCAGATGTTGTTTGTTTCAGAAATATCTTTACACTTAGTTTACAATGTGCATTTGCTTAAGAAATACTTTATCTCATGGAAGGCTGACACTGGTGATTTTATCTAGTTAAACTGAGTTCATAGTAATCCCTGCAGGTGCCAGCGAGCTAGTTTCTAGTTGTTTGCGACATACGATAAGCAAAGCTCTAAGAAGCTGGGCTGTCTGGTGGAGGTTTTGCCAATGAGAACGCTTGGGCACTGCAGTGCAGCAGCTGCTCCAGGAGATGCTGCCCATCTGCCCACGGCCGGCGAGATGCCGGTCTGTGCAGGACCTGCGTACCCGCTGTGCTGGGCCCAGCCAAAGCTTGTCCCTTGTGGGCAGCTGCTAGCCAGGGAGCAGTCGCAAAGCTCGTAAGATGGTGCAGAGCCTTCTTGTATAGCGATTTTTCCTCTGCCTTTGATGCTCTTTTATGCTAGATACATGTTTTCTGGCCCATCCATGGTTGCGCAGGCGTACCAAAATTTGGCCATATTTGCAAAATAAAGACTTTTACCGTGTTATATACTGCAATTTTCAAACTACAGATAACGACATATTTCATCTGCTGTCAGCGTTGAAGTCTTTTATGGTATCCATTTTATGTATAACTAGCAATGTATTTGCTTCTGTGTGACCCAGTGCATGCATCAAGAAGCTATTTATTTCTTGGTACTGTTTGTTTGCTTAAACTAAAACTTTGTGAAATTAACCATATATGTGTGATACTTAATTCAATGAGCATGTGTGTTCATATCCTGTCACGTGGTTGTTTCCTCTACTCAGACCGCTGCTTACAAACACAACACAGTTAGCCTTGGCATGCTGCACTCTGGAGGTTTTTCAGCAATGCATGCCGGCAGAAGCATGACTTTAAACTTGCAGACTAAATCTAAATTTGAAAACCAAATGCTTCAAGAGCTACCTCTACCGAATGTAAGTATGGGATAGCCAGCATATACCAGCATTACAAAATAAATTAATAATACTTCTTGCTTTTTCCTGGTTTAGCTTTTGCCTATTATTCATGCTTATACTATACACAATCCAAAAAGCAAAGATGATAGTAATACAGTTTTCCTACTCAATAATCTTGCTTTTTGGATTAAGTAGCTCACGTGGCTGTCATTACTGCTTTCTGCTCTCGTGTTACAGACTGATGCGATCATTTTCTCAATGACTTAATCTGTGCACAGAAATGGAGAACATGTTTTGTTTTGTGACTGTTTGATCTTAGAAAAATTAATGTAGAAATGTTTAATATGCATTTAAATAGGCTCCAAGAGACAGGGATTTTAACATATGGACATTAGTTGGGTATGCTGTAATGGTTGATGAGTTTTGAGTACATGCGTACCACACCTAAATTAATTTTAAACTTTTGTTGAGTAATGCTTATAGAAAGAAAATAATTTTGTCATTTTTTTTTACTGTTTATTTTACAGCTATTAGTGATATATTGTTGATAAATACATACATACACAATTATATACAAGCATTTGATGGGAAAAGCACATATGACAAGCCAGAGAGGGACATTGCTGAAGTATTTTCAGAGTAGCAGAGAGGAGGTGCTGAGACCTTACTCTGTGTCACCTGTGGCCACACTGGAGTCCCAGCAGGAGCCAGTTGCCAGACACTTGCAAGCAGTTGCACCGTTGGGATTGTGTGTAATGGCAGGGGGCTACTGCAGTGCTAGAAGTGACGAGCATCGTGAAGTGTCTTACTGCGTTAGCATCGGTAGCTGTTGGTACAAATTAGCAACATCTCTGTGAGTAATTAAAGGGTAACAGAGCACAGATCCAGGCACTGAAATGTGATCATCTGCGCTGTTAATTGCTGGACTGGCCTCAGGCGTGGTTTGGTCCAGGCCAGCTGGCACCCTCCCAGACAATCCCTGGCTGGAGTCAGCACCGGCCAGAAATTCCCAAAGGAGGGTTCCAATGCCTGATTTAAGAGTTTAGATCCAAGCCTATTTAGAAGAATAAGATAATTTAATGGCGGCAACATGACCAGATTGTGCTGGTTGGCTGGAGGACAGGCCTTAGCAGTGCTCAGCTTGCTAATACAGGCATATGCATCATACACTGGATTTCCAAGCAAAGCTGTGATAGGTTAACAACACACACACACACACACGCACACACACGCAAAGATGCATATCATTGTCAGGTTTCTTCTGCTGTAACTTACTTTCCATACACTGTTAACTTCATTTACACCTCCCATTCAGCTGTCCCTGGATTTAAACAAGTCCTAATGTTTAGTGTGTGCTTCTCTGTTGTTCAGTTGATGACATCTAGGTCAAATCCTAACCATAGATGTGTGTGTGTGTTTGGACACAGACATCTTTCCAGTGTTGGTCATACTGTTTTTTTCTTTCAAAGAATTTGTTTGTCTACTTGGGTATATACTAATTCTTGTCACAAGTCCTTGAAAGAAGTCCATTTGACATCAACTCCAAATAATGGTACTATTTTTCTACACACATTTAGGAATAAGGTATTATATATCACTTTAAGAATTGTAGGCTGTAGATGAATATGGATACTAATATACAGATGTCTGAGGAAATTCATGAAACTGTTTAGAGTGACATGTTTTGGGGTGTGATCTTACGTGAATTATTCTGCTTTATATTTCACCAGCATTTCATTGCTACATACCCATATAAAATGTGATGCTGAACTGCATGAAAGGGGTGTATTCTTTTACTGTACTGTTTGGAAAGCAGTGAAAAATTATTGTTGAACAAATAACATGAATCCTTAATATTGTTTAATTTTATTCCTTCACATGTTCTAAAGAATTTGCATTTCTTAATGAATCCAGGCCACAGCAGCTTAATGTTTACCTCTTCTTCTTTTTCTTGTGGCCTAGATTCAAGAGAGTAATGAGTGAGGTCAAATTGTCCAGTGGAAGATCAGGAAATCAAGTATAGCAATTACTTATTTCGAGAAAGTTTATTACATCGATTCTACTCCATGTATAAAATGTTTTAACTGCTGCTTTTCATTTTTTACCTAGACTTAATAGATATGTAGTTTGTTTGCAGTCTGTCCAAGCTCTGTAAATGAATAATATTGCAAATAGACAAATTCATTTTACTGCAGAAAATGAAAAGAAAAACCTGTTATCACAGAATTTTCCTATTTATTGAGAAAGCAGAAAGCACCCTTTGTATTTTTTCTTTTTCCATTTTGAGTGCAAACTCATCTCTGCAGATTAGTCGTTCGCTTACAAAAATGGCACAATGTTGTCTGCAGTGACAAAACAGAAACATTTTTCAGAAGAATGCTTTCAATTTTTGGCATCCGTCTCACAGTTCTTTTAAAAGTTTATGGGTTTGTGCACTTCATTCTCAGAAGTGTACAGTACCACCTCCCTTTAGGAATAATCAGCATATTCACATGCATCACTTAGGAGGAAAAACAGACGTTCCCTTAGGAAGCTGCCTCACTAATCCCCTCTGTCTCTGCCTGGTGAGGGCACATAGCATGTTCTATAAACTCATCTCACAGGGAGGTGAGCAGATTTCCAGCACAGCCTTGGGCACCTCGGTCTGTGGGTGACTCTGGAAGGGATGACTCACATCACGAAGATGATGGCCTTTCTTTTTCGTTGTTTTTTACTACTACTCAGAGCAGAAATTTTTGCAATTGTACTTTTTCATTTCAGAAGTTGTTTGCTCCCCGGGTCTCAGATGAGGTACCTCCTGTTTGGATGAGGATTATGTGGGGACGTGCAGCAAACAGGACACAATGGCTGATTCATGAGTTTACATAGGCAAAAAGAGCCCTACCTGGGACCAAACTGGGACCCAAATTCTGATCCTTGGACAAACAGGGCTCAGTGTGTCCTGGGCTGGGAAGCCTCAGGCAGAGGCTAACCCCTGGCATCGTGTTCAGGCAGGCTGCTCACAGTCCTGGACGCCTGTCCGGACACAAAGGGTTAGCTGTGTGTGAGGGACTTTTAGAGCCATACTGTCAGGTTTCATGCATGTCCATACACCAGCGTACAGCTCTGGGCCCAAATTTGCCAGCGTTCGAGAATCTTGTGCTATCTGAGAGAGCAGCAGCACTGCTGCATCAGGCACTGGGACCAGTGTCTATTGAGCTGTCAGGGATAACCTATGGAAAAAGTGCTGAGGCTGGTCTCATTTTTCCATTTTTCATGTGTGTAAAGAAAGCTCTACAGGGAGGTCTTGTAGTTTCAACAGGGGAAATGTTTTTCTAGTGGTTTTTAATATAAGGAAAACACGTTTCCTGATTTTTCCGGAAGACTTCTTGAATGATGAGAGAATTGTAATGAAAGTTTTCTTGGATTTTAAATACTTAGCATTGAATTTTTTTACTTAGCCTGTGAGGAGTATGATTTAAATCACAATTTACTTCTATTTACTTTTAAAAGATTTTAAAGCTTGCATAAAAAAGTTCTTAATTGACCAGTTACCAGCTTTAATATTTCAAAGCAACAGTTTCATTCGTTCTTCAGTCATCTAAAGAAGTGTTTCAGGATTTTTTTTAATCTAAGCTAAAGAAGAAATTGCTTGAGTGACAGGGGGGAAGAACAGACTTTTTTTTTTTCTTTGCAGATTGCCATTAATCAGAACTGAATAAGCAGTTTACTGAATAAGCACTACAAAATGCTAAAAGTGCTGTCAGTGGTAGTACAATGTTGGCATTTTGGAAAGTCTGACACAAAAAGCCACACCCGTGTTAGCAAAATTTCCACCTATGGTAAAGAAATGCAGAGACAGGTAACAGAAAATCAGGATGGGACAGAAAAGGTACACATGTCCTCAAAAGTACTGAAAACAGGAGTAAAATAACCAGGGGGAAAAAATGACAAAGAAACATGTATAAAAGGAGAGAAAAGTGGAAAGTGATAACAAAAGTATCAAGCTCATTTAGGAAACGTTAAATGTGTGTTATATCCATTCATATCCAGGGAAGTATTTAATTACTGGCTAATATTGTACATATGATATCCTGTTAACTTAGAACAAAACCAGCCGTAGCCTAGAGAGCGTTCTGTGAGAAGCACACCACACGCAGTGATACACAGAGCATAGCATGAGGTAACAGTAGTCTCAAGTTCAATATTGCCATTAAGGAATATTTTCTGAAGAAAATATAAGCATATCGTTTATCCTGTTGTCAAATACTTAATTAAAAAAATTTTGATGCTTCAATGACCGGTAAGAAAGTTCTAACTCAAATGATTAATGGCAGATTGCATGTTTAAATATGGAACTTTGCCAAAATTTGTTTCTCTGAAAATAATGTTACGTTAAATTAATTTTCTCTTTTCTCTCATCATTCATTATTCTCATTATTTCTCTTATATATCTTTCAAGATCGCCTGCTTGCAGAGAGTCCCACAGCAATATGATTACACTTTAATGAAATACCGTAGAAATCTAAAAGGATTTCCATTTTAGCAATAGTGTGCTACAGTTTAACTGGGTTGATTAAAATAAATATGAAGAGAGAATTTTCTGTCATGGTGTGTCCAGTGACTAAAGGCTGCCCTACCATTTCTGCAACAGACCCCATCGCAGCAGAGCAGCATTCTGGACAACGGGCAGGAGGAGGTGTCTGTGAGCAGCCAGTGGAACCCCTACCCGCTGGGGCGGCGGGACGTGCCGCCGGACACCGTCACAAAGAAGGTAAGCAGCACGAGCAAAGCTGCTGACATAGCTATGGTTGTCTTCTTTTCCCAGCAAATCACTGGAAGGAGAACAGGTTAATGAGGACAGGTTTGGCGAACACATATTTTTGTTTCAAAGTTTATAGTAATAATCATTATGAATTAAGGATGGTGTTTTCATGCCTGCTACCTGTTTTTGTATTTACTTATGCAGATGCTAGTAGTTACATCTATAGTGTGTGAAATGGGCACAGTGGGCTTGGCAGATGTATTTCTGCATGTATCAGACAGCCGTCAGCTCCCTCTTGTCCTGAAAAGTCTTCATTCAAATGTTTCATTTCAATTACATTCTTCAGTTCACAACAAAAAATAAATGTGTTGAGATGGAGGCCAGCCCAGTGTCTGGGCAGTCACAGACATTTTCGCAGAGACATCCTAGGCACACATCATTTGCTGATAGACTCACTAGAAAGGGGTCTAATTTCTAGTACCTTGTGGCGGTAGGCATTAAATTACAGTGCTTGGATCTGGCCTGTTTCTATGAAAACACTGGCTGCTCTCTCCCAGCCCCAACTTGGCTCTGCTCGTCGACTGAGAAACTGCCATTTTTAGATGCTCTAATCATAAAGCTGGAGAATAGAGGATCTTGACAAACCAAACTGTGTTTGCAGTCAGCTTTAGACAGTGGAACTGCACATCTAAGCAGTGATAGTTACATTGATTGTTACCTATATGGAGATTGGTCCTGCTTATTCCTGAAGTAATATGTCTTATGAGTGAATAAAACTGGTGTGAAAGTCATAATGTGCACACTAATAACTTCTGTAGTGTAATTAACTGTCAGCACTGATGAGGCAAGTATCTCCCTACTGGCTTCACATCTTTTTATCCAAGATAGTTTCAGAAGCAGTAGCCCTTGCCTTCATACAAAAGTAGTGACAAGAGATACACATGTACAAGAGAATTGCTTGAAGATCGGCGACGAAAGCCGTTGTACCTAGAGCAGCCCAGAGACTCCTTCCCAGGCACAGGAGGGTGAGGAGGAGGGTGCCCTGGCATTGTTTGATGGAGTTGGCTCTGACAGCCAAGTTATTCGAAGGGTTTCTTTATCCTCTGATATGCAAGAAACTAGGATAAGAAATTTAAGAGGAGTCACTGCTTATCTTCACTGGCATATTCGGATGAAACCTGCGTTTATCCAGTCGCACAATCAGTGCATCATCAGTGTTACTATAATAAGAAACTGCAGATTCTGTTTCGTTCTGAATATTTCAGTATCTCGCTGCTCAGATGTGGTAAGTACAAACATTGCATAACCGCACTGAAATCTGCTTAACTCAGTGGAGCAATCCATTGTTACATCCGTTGTCAGCTACTTTAATTATACTGTAAATATTGGACACTGAGCTGAAAATAATTAACTTTGTGGTGGATGTTAAATAAAGTAAAGAATACAAATGAAATTGGGAAAGCAGTCTGCATAACAGAGATTTGTTTCTGCAGAATAAATAATTCCCTTTTCCAAGAAAGGCAGCTTATCCGCCTCCAGCAAGAGCCACAGTGTGAATGCACAAGAAGTAGTGATATGATCTCTTCAAAGTCTATTAACAGGAGTGAGAAAATGAATTCTGAAAATTGTTTACCCACCATCCTCAGGAGGTGGTTTGCAATGTGCCGTTACGACAATGCTAATCTCTTCTCCATTGAAAGTGACCTAGAGTGTCTTGGTTTCCCAGCATCTGGGGATTAAAATACAGCAACTGTTTGAAGTCAGACTCAGAAAATCTTCTATAGAATTAAACTCCAACATAACAAACAATTAAATGATGTAAATATAAACTATAGTATATGTTTTGTTTTTCCACTAACACATTCACAAGTGTGAATGGGCTCCTGCAGAGCAGAGTCACTACATGGTAGAGCTATACTTGGGAAATCACTGGAAGAAGACTTGGAACTTGTTCTTCCAAGGGGAAGAGCG